AAAGATCTTAAGAGATGTGATCATTCAGATCACTGAGGTTTTTATTTTGCACGTGGTCCAGCGGGGTCATATTGACCTTGTGTGCACTTTTATAAGGGTCTTCTTTTATTTGGTTTCGGAAACTGACAGTCTGACAGCACAATTCCCCCAACCCCTACTTTCCTGCTGTCCGACCATGACATTTACCGCACTCCTCCTGAGAATTGTGCTAAGACCGCGGGTGGGTTAAACCTCATTTGTGAAAATTTGACTGTTCCACATTTGCATGTGTAGATTTGTACCTAAACTCCAAGAGATTTTCATAAAAACCATAGACACAATGTGATTGGGTGCTTCCTGCATTTTCAACAGTTAAGAAACCCTCACATTCCAGAAATGAAACTACCAATTGAGGGAAGCGATGAAAGAGGTGATTGGTATGAGAACACTGGCTCTCAGAGCTCTGCTCTTTACAGAGCTCTTCAGTGTGGCTCTCTGTGACTCCTTAGGAGAGAATATTTATGTCTCAGAAAGAATGACATGGTCAGATGCCAGAGAATACTGCAGAAAGCATCACACTGACCTGTCCTCAATCAACAGCCAGGAGGAACAAGACAAACTCACTGAGTTAGGACAAGGAGATGAAGAATACGCTGACGGCTGCCTACTGTGTCTAGAGATTGGAGGTGCTGATTCTACAAAAATCTGGACTGGTCTGTACAAAGATGTCAATGACAACTGGAAGTGGTCTGGTGGGAAAAATGCTTTGTTCTTCCTCTGGATATCACTGGAGGAGTCCGTTCAAGATCAGCACTGTGTGGCACAGAGTGACGAGGGCAGGGAGGCAGTGAGCTGTGAAGAAAAAATCCCTTTCTATTGTTTTCACAGCAACCTGGTTTTGGTGAAAGAAAACAAGACCTGGGAGGAGGCTTTGGACCACTGCCGCAATCTAGACAAAGAACTGGTCAGCCTAACCTCTGAATCCGCCCTGACTAAAGCTCTGCAGACCAGCAGAACAGCTTCAACGACCCATGTGTGGAGCGGCCTGCGCTACCTTTCTGACAGCTGGCTGTGGGTGGATGGGACCTCAATGGAGAACCAAACCTGGAACCAGGAGCAGGTCCCACAATGTCCAGCCTGGAGCCACCACTGTGGGGCCCTCTTTCAGGAGGGGCAACAGTTGGAGAGCTGGGACTGTGCTGACAAACTTAACTTTATTTGCTATGCGAATGGCACATCCTTGAACTTGTAGTAGTTGTGATGAGACTTCTGGTCAGTTACAAATGTCCTTTAATGATACCACAGATATCATTAAAAGGTAGTGAAAAATAGTTTATTTGCCAAATGAAATCCACAGATGAGATGTGTCTGAACACATTGACTTTGATTTCAATAATGCATGCACTAATTCTATTTGGTTTCCTACTCTTCTATCCCACTTGATTGTATATAACCTTTTTTCAAATTATATTCTATTATAGTTTGTTACCTGGTTTTAACTAAAATGTACAATTAATATGTGCAGCTGCATATTAAATATACTTGAGAATTGACATTTTATTCTTGAAAAGACAGCAATTAAAATTCTAAACATTTTTTGGATAACTATAAAGTAAGATAATCCTGAATCAGGTACATTAAAACTGCTGACAGTTGAAGTGAATACCCACATATCTTTTCTTCGAGGCACCTGCTAAGAGGTGGACTTTATTAGGCAGCAAGTGGGTATTTAATCCACAGATGATGTGTCTGAAGCAGTGGGAATAGGCAATTTGAGCAAGTTTGAAAAGGCCCAATTTGTGCCTGCAAGATGACTGAGTCGAGGCATTTCTCAAACTCTCGGTCTTATGAAGTATTCCTGGTCGACAGAGGTCACTTTATATCTAACTGAGGTGAGTCTGTAACAGGAATAACCAAGTCAGCAACAAATGAACCTTAGATCTCATTAATGGAAATGGAGTGAGAAGGCTGGTCCGGTCCAACAAAGAAACTATTCTATCTTTCAACAATAAGTTTTTATATTGCCTTAAAAAGTGTTGAAAATAGTTGATAAATTTGCATAGCTGTTATTGTGATAATCATAAATTTGTATTCACCCAGAACTTTATAAAGTTTTCATGACAACTAAGAAAAACAACATGACTTGAGTAATAAATTAAAGGACATGCTTTGATGGCACAAAAATAATAAAGAAGGTTTGCAAAATACTAGTAAGAGAAAATACTGTGGTGTAGACACAACTTCAACACTGGCTAAAGAATACCAGCAGTAAATCACTAAGTCCTAAATGTCACAATGTCATGAAGCATGGGTGAAAAAAAGTTCTTAAGGAGATTAACAGTTGTTTTTGGAAGATGATGCTCAACCTCACAATATTATCCTTTTGTATTAAATGTTCTAAATCCCACTGCTAAGATTACACAAGTATTTTTAAACATAATCAAAGTAAAAATGATGAGTTGGCCAAATATGTTGCCAGTGAACGGCTTATCAAACGCTTTTCTGCAGCAAAGAAGTCAGGCGATCCGTAAACAAAATGTCTAATCTGTTTTGCGTCTCTGAGTCATATATAAATTTATGACTAAAAATCAAAACTTATTGTACCAACATAGAAATGTCACGACTTCTGATGAGCCTTTAATCGTCAGATGATGGAAATCTGAGGCCTTATTATTTTCACAAAAGGAGATCATAATCTATTCAGACATTCACATGGATGTGTCTTCTACTACTGCTTTTATTGTACACTTAAATGATTGTTTTCATATACAAGGGGTTTGTGTTTATTTTAACAACAAACCACCAATAATACCAAGTTACAGTTGTTCCAGTGCAGAGAAAATACTTTGCAACTATAAAAAATCAGTGACCTAGTGGCTCCTGATGGCCGGAAGGATTTAGTCACACAACATACGGTTACAAGGTCAGCTGTCCCATCATGTGCAGACACACTGGTGAGATCGCTTGGTGTGTCTGAAGCCTGGCTTGTTATTTGTGCTTGTGTGCAGTTCATGCTCCCACAGCAAATTAAGCACTCCAGTCATACTAGCTAGTGACCTTTACCAGCCCTTGTTGTTTCGCTCTTACAGGCTATACACGCCTGCCGTAATGGTTCACTTACAGAGCCTGCTGGGCGAAAGGCTACCACTGTCTGTACAGTGAAGAGTGCGCAAAGGTCAGCAGAGTGGTGTTTGCTGGTAGCAGATTAGAGATGACTATAAACAAAGCCATATCACTCCACAAGTAAGAATATTAAAACAAAACTTGTCACCATCAAATTCCATCAAAGGCACACTGAGAGTACCGATATCTTATATTCAGATCAGACATTAAAAAGGTTCCTAAAAAAGGAAGACAGACATATAGCTATAAATAAGCCTAATAACAAACAAGTTCACTGCCTGAAATAAACATGGAGGGGCGAGTCAGTTTTTAATCCCATAAAACACTAATTGTACTTTGACACCATCTACCGGGCATTTCTTGTCATTTAGACGAGGGCAATCTATCAGTTTATCGTCTAAACTTGATGAGAAGTTTAAACCTTAACTCTTTTTTTCCGCAAATGAGGATTGAGTTTGGGTATTTTTGAAACAAACAAACAAACAAAAAACTGCAAACGGTGATACCACATAAGAGCCAGTCTTTTTTCCTTTTCACAATGAGCGCAAAATGTTTCCAAAACACAATGAATTGTTTTCCAGCATGCATTCCTCCAGATAAGTGAACTTACATGAAGAGATTTCGAAGTTTTCATTTGAGCGGGATTCCTTTGATTGTGCTGATGAATTTACTGCCAGCTGCTCAAAAGATGTATGACGTCATTGTGTCATTTACCGTAAATGACGTTAAAGAAGAGCAGTGATGTGCTTCAATAACCGTAAACAACTTGAATGGATCTCCAAGTGTATCTAAAAAATGCTTTACCGTTTCAGTCGCGATAATGTGGGTCAGAAAATAAATGTGTATTTTACAAATAAACGCTGTTATGGTAGGAAAGCAAATCTATTTTGATATAGTCTTTATTTAAATTATTTTAAACCAGATATCATATTAGGAGATATAGGCTGCTATGGATTAAAGTCGTATGAAAACATTCGAGTAAAAATGTAAACTTTCAAGGTAAATTTATTCAATTATTATTATTATTATTATTATTATTATTATTATTATTATTATTATTATTAGTAGTAGTAGTAGTAGTAGTAGTAGTAGTAGTAGTAGTAGTAGTAGTAGTAGTAGTAATACTAGAACTACTAGTACTAGTTAAATGTTGTTAGATGTATATGTGCTTGACTCTATGGCCTTGTTTTATTTTCTATAATCACCAAAGATAAATGAAGAGATAAATAAATAAAGAAACAAAGGAAGAAAGCTGGCTCGCACTGCCCTCTGCTGTAAAAAAGATGGCATTGCAAAAATGTTCCAATTATATCTGAGCATCTTCTATAATTGTGAATGACAGATTTTTGGATCTTCACGCATTATGAAACATCTATGGAAATTTACAAACCAAGAGAAAAACGGCGAGGAAAAAAAACTGAACATTGTTGAAGATACGTGGCAACAAAAACCTAACTGTTGTTTTTGCATAGTTAAAGCACAAAATTGGTCACTGCTTTTAAAATATATATAGTTATTTTTAGCCTTTCAGAAACAACTGTAAAATTACTGTTTCTGTTTCGTATGCACATGGATGAGAGAATAAGCGAGTAGCTGATATAATCATACAGCTAATCATTACAAGGAAAAAAAAACTAAAATAAAAACAACTACGCAACAATTCATTTTTCATAAAGCTGCAGTAAGGGAAAAAAAGGAAAACGTTCTCAGCACGACATCTGGCCTTAGCGTCAGAGGGATGTATTTTACGGTAAATGGACGCTCATTACCATGTGATCTTACACGATGTTTGTAAACATGCGTCAGCCACATGTGAGTCTCTCGATGAGGAAACGCTCTCCATCGTCTCAGCCAATCAGTGATCGGAGGAGTGTCAGGGGCGGGGTTCCCATGTTGCGCTATGGAAAATTGTTAAGAGATACACTGTGACAAACATGCGCTCTGAGATTGATAATAACCAGAATAAGGTCAAAACGGGAACCTGGCGGAGTCAATATTCAGCGAGAGCCGGAACTGGGTGGCGCCGGCCAGGATGAGGTACACATTTCTTCAGCACAGATGGAGGGAAGGCTTGAGCGAAACACGTAAGTTATTTGTGTTTTTACATGGTCGAAGCGACATAACACTGCGTAGGTTGCTTAGAGAATACCACTGTGTAATTCATAACCATCGGAGCGCCAGATGAGAAGGTAAGAATCAGAGCTTGGAGGCGCTCGGGAAAGAGTTGCTTGATGTTTCATGAAAGCGAATAAAAGTGTTTTTATCACAGCTGTTCATAGGCTGGGGCTGTGTAATGAGAACGGTTCTGAACACTTTTTTAAATATTCCTAATGTCTCATCATCGGTATGACAACAGGTAAATGAAACTGCGTCAGCGCGAAGTCCGACAAGCCACATGAAATCCAGTGGGAATTTCCACTGCGAGGGACGAAACTCGCTGCGATGGCATGCCAGTCTGCTTGTGGTTGGTCTAAAACTCGACTTTTGTCCGATTTTAATGGCTAAATGTGGATGTAAACAAAACGTGGAATCGGCAGGGATGGCGTGTCAAGGAAGAGCTCGGAATAGGATGCTGCGCAAGAGATGGATAGTGCGTAATCCTGTTGTGGGAGAGGACGATGTTACGCAGTACATATTACCACAATCATTCACCGTCCCGTGGCCTTACGGGCTATGTTTATTCTGTTACCGACATTCCACGACACTGTTATTCAATAAAAGAAAAAAAATACTCATATTCTTGAGATACGCAGTTAAACGTGGTTTAAATTCGATGCGAGAGGACCGGGCTCTTGTTTGCGTCTTTTCAGAGGAAATACAAACTCAGTGATGACGCAGCTTTATTTAAGTTTCCGTTTTCTATCAAGATTTTACTGCGTCACACAGCTCTCAAGAGTCCGAAATAGTAATCTGGCTTTATAGTGCGCACTTGATATGTTCAAAACAAGATGTGCTTCCCGAATGTAGGGGGCGTTGTTGAGTAAAATACTAATTGGACCAAATGATCTGCTGCACTCCTCTTTATTGCTCATTCTTTGTTTTTCTTGGTCTGTTTAACATTTTTTGTTTTAATAAAATAAAAATTAATTGCACATTCTTTAAACTATTTTTCAGCTGAATCACACCTTGATTTTACCCCCTTTGCTATTTTGTTGTGAAAAACTTAGCAAATGTACTATCTTAGACATTGAAAATCATCCCTATGATGAGTCAAAAGCACAATAGTGCCACTGTCTTATGAAGTGGCACTATTGTGAGTGGCACATACACTGCGGGCCTCTAATCTAACTTGATTCAATTGTGATGTTTGAAGGTGTGGTGCTTCCTGCTGTTCACCTGCTAAACTTATCACAGTGCCTGAGGTGAAAATGAGAAAGGTAGGGCCGGCTAACGCCATCCTGTCAAGCGGATTTGTTCAGTCATCAGCTCATGAATAAAGCTCATGAGTTGCAAAATAACTGGCAAGCAAATGTAAGAAGAGAGGCTGAGAGAGAGCGCGAAAGGGAGGGAAGAATACCTTTATAGCTTTAATTATGTTCGCTGAATAGAAACTTGACTCCTGGAGGTAATGGTGTTATGGCAGTTTTTAAGCAAACACATCAAGGTTCCAGGAAGAGGTATAATATAATCAGAGAGTAAGTGACAAGGTTTGTCACTATGTTTTTACATGTTTCCAAATACATATATTTAAAACTATGTGCCATACATTAGGTGAGCTGGCCTGGAAAACCACATCGCTCCATGTTTTATGGATTGTGAGGATCAGCCATCATGTTTACCAGGAGTTTCTAGGCTGACCAGTGGAACAAGTGACCCAGTTTCCCAACAAGGAAATGTGACCTCAATAGTTATTTTGTTATCCTTTTGCGGTGAGGTGCAGCCTCTCAAGTTAAGCAAATAGACACAACATAGTTTTAATCACAGTTTTGGAGGCAAATTTTGCCAGCAGTAGATAAAGTTTGAACAAGAACGCAATCTCTGCTTAGAAATTCAGCTGATCCTGTTGGTTTAAAATGAGCAAAGACATTCTTCAAAGACAAAAGAAGCACTGTGAATATCCTGAAAAATGTGTTTGCAGCACAGGGCTACCATCACCTGTGGCCAACATAAACCATCAGAGAAAATGACTCTCAAAACAGATCCCTCCTACGCTCAGATTATAGAATGGGAAGTGGCACAGGGCCGAGAGATGACAGTGCTAAAATTAAACCCGGTGCACTGCTGGCCTTGCTACATGACTGTGTATTAATAGACAAGTGTGAGGCAGCATTTGTTCTCAGGTAGACAGACACCTTATGCAGTTAGCGACTGTGATGTAACCCAAGAGGCTGCTCTGTGCTCCAATTATTTAGTTGCTTGTTTTTCTTTCTGTAGGCTTGTCTGAGAGCCTAAAGTGGACATCAAGTTGCAAATTAGGCAAATAAGATTGTTTTTGTCCCTTCTGTGTTTATGAAGGTGCTCCCTGTTTCAGAAACTGGAGACCCAGTTTACTTTCTGAAGATGCCCTGAAGCAGCTAGTTTAACACATTACGCCACCTTCTTTATCAACAAAACATCTGATATGTCCCAGCTGGCTGCATAGGAGCCAGAAGATTGTGACAATGTGTAAATCAAGTCCTCGATGTGTGGTAGTTATTTCCATTCATTGTGCGTTCGGGTTGAACAAACATTTTCAGGCTGTTCTGAGCATGTCGAGGCTCTCACTTCTACAAATATTTCACAATCCCTAACCCCTTAGGAGACAATGATGCAATTCAGGAGGTTAAACTCAAGATCCTTTTATGATCCAAACATTTGGTATGTTTAAGTTTTTCTTCCAAATGGGCCGAGTCATCAGGAAGTGACATCTGATTGGTACTTTTGTATCATGTGATTGTTTTTCAGATCAGTCAGTCTAATTAAAACTGTATATATGTATACTTGCAAATTAACATTTGGCAAATAAGATTTACATCTTACCTCACTTTGCTGCACAATTGTCAGGCGGTAGTTTAAAAACACATTACCTTGATAAGGTTGCCTCTCTCACTCCTGATAAATTAGGACCTATAATCTGTAAGAGGATTAACCACCTACACCGTTTACACGTGCACCCATGCACACTGCTCCGCCCCATGCTGTTATGCACACGTAACACAAGGTTGCACGTATGCCGGCATTCACTGTTGATTTTACGTCACCTGTTCCAATGGGACAAAACCCAGTGACTCTCTACTGGTGACATCAATTACCTACTGACAGCCTGCACTGCATAATGCAGTGATGGATTTGTCCATCAAAGCTGGTTAGACACCATCAGGATAAGTTTTTTTTTTTATTTAAAAGCAAAAATGTATTTAGTTTGCTTCTATTATTTCACATTAATAGAATCCTTTTGTTTTATTTCCATCTGTTTTGTATTAAAAGTGAGCAGTAAATTCAGTTTGATGTCCTTCCAAATCAAACTAATGGTTGCGTAAGTTCCTTTGTTTTGATTTTTAAAGGGGCTGATGTGCCTTTAACAAGCAGTGGATGGTCAGGTGACTCGGCAGAAAAAAATAAAACAGCTTCAATGCAGTGAGAAGCCTCTGCTCGCACAGGAGAGGGTGAAAGGACTTGGAGTTAAAAGAACAAAGGAGCAGGAGAAAGGAACGCACAGTGACGTTCTCAGACCCCAGTGTTACGTGGCTCATCATAATAAATGAGAAGGAGATGGATGTAAGAAGCGCTGCAGCCTATAAACCACAATGGCTGCCTGAGTTATTCTTGAAGCTGACACAGCAGACGTGTAAATAGTGGCAGATTCTACTGAAAGCGAGAATATTTTTGGCCAAGGCACACATCTGTAGGGCTACATGGCAATAATGAAATGCCTAATTTGATTACCACTGCTCAAAATACATCCTTGAAATCTAGTACAGTAGTTTTTGTTTTAGAAGCCATGACACTAAACTAATAGTGAAGAAGAGATTCGGAAGGAACCAACAGACACATGAAAGTTTGTAGTAGTTGTTTTTCCGATCCACAGGATAACAAGGAGCCGGAGGCTCTGACAGGCCAGGATAATTCCACACATTAGGGCCAGAACTACAGAGTTCAGTGACTGTTCTGGTATTTCAAAATAAGATATACCAGAATCAGTTTCTCATTCAGTCAGAAACCACTTGTTAACACTTTTATTTACTTCTTTCAGAACCCGTTTTTTCTGACTTCAGTTACATTCGACCCCATTTGGACCAGGAGCAGCACCGGATGGCTGAAGTTGGCCCAGGAGAAAACACAGTATATGCCATCATGCCTGACAAAGAAGTCTGTGGGAATGCTGCCGAGATCTATTTTTCCACACTGTGATTCACTGACAGTTTCTGCCAGGCTTGATCTGTGTTTCCATTTTGCTACTATGCTCTACCATCCTGATGCATTCTGGTCATCTGATGCATTAACAAGCAGCTGAAACGCTGAGCTGAGTGTCTGTTTCCGTTTTAGGTTTAAGAAACTTTACAGCATCTTTACAAATCTACATGTACATGCAAACTATGTAATTTGGGCGTAGTACATAGTGTATTATGGCCAATATAAATATACTGATGTCTGTTTTGAAAAATAGATATCTATTTGTATATATGTAAAAAAAAACAAAAAAAAAAAACATACAGCCTGACATTTAGTTTTTCATTATCAGACATTTTGTTTGAAATTACAGCGCTATACTTAACCTTGAAGGCTGCTTAAAACAATGAGGAGCAGTTTGATTTTCATACTTTCATACAAGTAAAAAGGTAGATCAGCATTCTCTGGAGATAAAATAGTTTGCTACTATAATGCAGTAAGAACAAAAAACAAACAGGCAAGAGAATGCCAACAGCATTCTCGTGCCGTATTTGATAAGTGAAAGAATAGAATAAACAAGAAACAAATTAAGACTGACAGTAACTCTGACAATGCAAAAGTGAAGGTGATGCATTTCCTGGTCCATCCTTGCAGATAAATCATAAAACATGTTGAAAAGAACAACATTAGTTTCGTTCCCCCCAGGTGTGCCGGAAGCTGTGTCGGCTTTAAAGTCCTCCTCCCCAGGGAACTGGTTTCAGATGGTGTCTTAGAGTCTAAAATCCCATCTAGCACCATTTGAAATCGGTGTTCTTGAGCGGGAACAGATTTCACTTTAGCAATCAGTGCAGGATTGCTGTTTGGTTTGTGATGGTAATTTTCAAAACAATTAAAAATAGTACCAGGAATGGGTTGCATATTGACAGACTGTAGGGCTCTGCAAATCTTAAGCATCATCCCTTAAATAGATAAGAGCACAGGAATACATTTTTCCAACCCTCTAATCAAGGCTGACCGTTTTCCTCTGGTGTTCAGAGTTTCCATCATGTCTAGCACCATTTGAAATCGGTTACAATGTGGAGGGAAAATCAACATTTTGCTTCAGGTTCATTGTGAATATCCACCAAAGGCCACAAGATGGCAGCATTGCACTTATTTCAGTCATCCAAGCCGCAGCGCTGGAAGGATCCCAAAGCATAAATAAGGACCATGTGCAGGTGCAAATCTGAATTGTTTTGATGGAATAAAAACGTATTGTTGTTATTGAAAATTTTGTGCAAATGTTTTTTTTATTATTATTATTATTTATTGGGGAACGAATCAGGTGACTTTCACTGTGTGTTTAATGGTTTCTGTATTGATTCCCTTTTTGTAATGTTTAATTAAATAGAGATATACTGGTTAAATGCTTCAGTGGTCTGGAAGCTGTGCCATCAGGCTTGTGCAACATTTTCAAATTTATGCTTGAATGGCTGATTGTGTCCCTGTAGGACCTTGATTTAATTTTATAAAGTTACTATTTTACTTCTTATTATGACTAAAATTTTTTTTTTTTTTATCAGAATAAAAGATATGTAATAGAATATTTATTATTCTGGGATTTAGCAAATACAATTATTTTAGATAATTGTTTTTGTTTACAACTTATATAAACATCTCAATTATAAAGATATGTAGCTATAAAACAAGTTGTGTTTTTCCACATAATTAAAAAAAGATCAGGTATTAACAACATTAAAGGAAAATGGTGCTGGAGTGGCTGATGGATTCCCAGTGACATTCTCTTTGGGGCCTCATACTGCTTTGGTGAGATCTGCCTGTGAAGTAATTGTTTTGGGCTTTTGGTTCATTTTGTCGCAAGTTGTTCACTACATGATTTTCTGACACTGCAACAAAATATAACATGATGAAAAGTTGAGAAAGGCCCAGGTTCAGCCAAGATAACAAGCCCATAACTGGAAACCCTTTCATACTGATGGCATAAAGTCATCAGTATGAAAGATCCCGAGTCCTCCACTTGGGGCAGGACACCTGTTCTGTAGATTAAGCTCAGTGTTTGGGATTTGTCTGAAAACTGATGGTGCCCCCTATAGGCATAAAAACAACATTCTTGGCTCCATAAAGCCTATAAATGTTTTCCCATTTCTCTTTTGGTAAGTCGATGACATCCTTGACAAAATTGAAACTTTATAGTATGTAATTTTCTTCAACAATCGGACTATAATGTAGATCCAGTGTAACTTTTACAGTACATACATGTAACTGGCCTTCTGTAATAACTTAAAAGATGATCATTGACTGATTATTTTGCATTTTTGCAATTTATTTAGTTGGAATAGCTGTTTTGGTTTCTAAGCATATTAGAGATTATTTTTTTTTGTAATTTATAATTTCCTGCACTTTTCTAGATATTTCCAATTAATTTTTTAATCTAATTATTCCATTCAGTGAGTACTGTCATGTTCCGGGGTTTTTTAGCTCCTTTGTGGAGGTTTTGTTTGTGCAGGCAACTTTTCTACCACTAGAGGGAGCCATATCCATTCTGTCGGAGGGTGCAGATGACGTCATCCCACACCTGAGGCGAATTGAGCTCATCAACGAGATGTTCAAGAGAAGCAGACGGCCAGTCCTTCGGCGCCTGAGTGTTTGCCAGCCACGGTACCTCTGAGCCCTAGATGCTTGCTTCTGTTTATCTGCTCTTTGTGAGAATCTTCCTTGTTGCTTTTCTTACCTTCAGGTGTTTCCTCCTGGCTCCTTGTGTTCCCGTCCATCCTCGTGACGCCGTGGGAAGTACCCACAGGTTGCCCGAGCCCCAGACTCACCTTATCCGTGCACCAACCAGCTCCTCCAGAATTCCCACGACTGGCAGTCGCTCCGCTCCTCTACGTCCGCCGATCTAAGCCTACCTGTCCGCCCTCCGACGAGCTCCCGTTGCCTCCTGGATTCCTGACGCCAGACATCACACTACCTGGAACCACTGAGAACTGAAGCCTCGGACATTACAGTACTCTCTCACCTCTCAAACCAGCCGTTCACAATTAACCGTTTGTTTCCTGACGTTACCTTCCTCCCTGGACCCGACCCGAGCCTCCAGTACCCACCAGCAGTGTTTTCAATAAAATTCATTCTTAACTCACATTTTCTCCTGAGTGGTGTTCTGCATATGGGCTAGACTATTACCCCCATCATGACAAGTACAACAGTATCTGGAACAACCCATATTCTTGTTTACTGTTAATGATATATTATATTACTAGTTTAATATAAATAGAGTTGTCTATTAGGGAAACGGATTGCATTTGCTGACTTGGTTACCATAGGTCTTCTGAAACATATAATAAAACCTTAAGTATAAGCATATGGTCAAAGCAACCACATAAGTATTCGTAGACTCAGGTCTAGTACCACCTAACTCACTTTGTCCATGCTGATGTCAGTTTTGTCTGATATACTGTTACAAAACTGTCATCAGAAATAAAATCATTTGATGCTGTTGCTCCAAAAGCAACTGAATGGTTAGAGCTTTTCAATCCTTTGAAAGACAGTTGTTTGTCTGGTTGCTTTCAAAAGACTTGAAACTACCGTCTGACTGTTTCCAGCTGTACTAAATTTACGCTGAAAAGGGCTGCATTTTAAAAGAAAAAAGGCTCAGATTACAAGATTACATTTTTTATCTCTAGTACGTCATTGTGGGTCATCATCCAGGCAAATTACTGGGAGTGTGTTTCTATATCAACAGAAAACGTAAACACTGTCAATCCGTTCAAAATATTTTTAGTGAATAAAAGCATGAGTCATAGGGAGTGGCTAGTGTAAACATGAACTCGTCATGACGTTTCGATGTAGCCAGTCTCTGTTTTTGCTGACCTCACTGGTTGGTATTTGCTCGGTTTCCTCTGACGTGCACATAGGGGAGGAAATTGAGGACAGATGTTTAAATTACAGGCTTGTCTAAACAAGAAAGAAGAGCAAAAATAACTATTTTGAGAAAGAGGGCTTTATGTAATGGATTGATTTGGTAAAACCAGTCATTCATGTCTAATATTGTGATATTCTATAATTTTCTTAATTGTATATTCCTCAGTGTTCCTCAACTGCTTTTGTGTAACCAAATGACCTCGTAAAAGTGCCATAAAATGTTTATGATCATGAAGAGTGTTAACTGGGCAACACGCACAACCCTGCATTCTTTCTTGTAAGTGATGAACACACAGTAGCTCTTGTGTTAAATGAGGCCCTTCACGTTCTGACTTGTGTGAGAAGCAGGTTTTAAATACCATTCAATCAAAATCAAAGCACTTATCTTTAGCAAACTTGAAATTACTGTTGTAGTTTAGTCCTTCTTCTCAGAATCATTGAACAAAAAATCATTAAGCCATAATTTCCCAGTATAATAAGAGCCCTTCACATTAATCTTATCCAACAGTAAAATTTTCTGATGAAATTAAAATGACAGAAGGAAGTTGGTGAAACTTAACATCCAAACGGGTGAAAATACTTAAAAGTTCAAGAGCTTTCAAACATTGGTTTTGACATGAATGCTATAGACATTGGAGGATATCCAATGTCTTCCTCTTATAACAAGTTTAAAGTGGAAATCATTCATGTTCTGTTTTTCCTTAAACACCACCATCTGTTCTTTTCATGAGAACAACTTTAACAGAGAAGTCCCAGACCAATCTGCTCTGAGGGCTTTCCTCCCATTTCCAATATATTTTTGTTGTATAACCACAGCAAAATTATTCCAAAACCATCTAGTCCCAGACTCCGCGGGTTTCTGTGTAATCACCTAAGTGATTCTTCCCAGACAGATGACTCAAAGCAGCTTTTGTAGCAGTCAGACTGGCATGTTGACCCTCAGATGCAAGATAATGAGTGCATATTCTCACACAATCTTGTGTGTATGTGCTTGTTCTTGTTTTTCTCATATGTAAAACGACATTGTTTCCTATATTTGATCCTCTTTCCATATCCCTCCTCTACATGTTCAACTGGAACAGGGTTAACTAGAAGGTCTATTGTGTGAAAGAATTTCCTCCTCTTTGAACTGTGAGACAAAATGAAAACTGATCATAATAAAAGAACTGTCATGAGAGCCAGTTCTGTGGTTTAGTTTAAAATTTAACTGTCATGTAGCTTTTTATGTGTATTTAAATCTGAATTTAAACAAAATATGAACACAAAAAAGAAAAGAAGGTATTTTGTTTTTATCTTTCACCCTCAACATTTGTGCATTGTGTCTTCATGTATTGTGTCATGTCAAGTTTAACCTAAATTTTGTATCTCTTGAAAATGTTGATTAGACATTTGAAGAAGGATATGTTCTTCCTTTTTCATTAATAAAAGCACTTCCACTATGCAATCATTCAAGGCCCAAAACCATGTTTCCTTGGTGTAGCTTGAGGTTAGCTGAAACATGTGACTGAATTTTATGATCCATTGTCCAAAGCACACTGTGGATCCAAATCAGATAACGTTTTACCTGTTGTCGGTTCCCTCTCTCCTCCCTTTTTTGTTTGATCTTCACCGGTCGTTGGGGATTATTCTGTTTTATGATTCTGTATGCTGCATTTGTTGTTCTGCAAATCTAATTTTTCTTTTCCATATCTTTTATTTAATTAGTTTTGAAGTTAGTTTTCAGTATTCTGTTCCATTCTGTCATGGCTCATTCCATAATCTGTTTTGATTCCCATTTTATTAGTCAATAAATTCCTTTAATCTTATCAGTAGCTAGATTGCATGCCAGTAAAAGGAAAATGTTCTTTGATGCATACTTCAGTTATAAAACTGGGGTGTTTTGTAAATAATCAGACTTGATAAGCATGTCAGTGATTATTGCTTGTTATGTGAGTTTCTTCTGGTGGTTCTCTGAATTAATACCTTCTCAAGAGTCTAAACTTGACTTACACTACAGACGTACTGGAACTCCAATTCAACTGAAGAATTTTCATTTAGGTAAATTTTATTAATAATTTAGATAGTAATAACTGATTCATTTAATCTTTATCATGACATTTTTTGCACAAAAAATGTGCAAAAAATGTCACAATAACCCCTAACTGTTAAGCTCAAATAAAGTCCTGTTCAAACATCTCTTATATAAGTGATCCTAAGGTGCCAATTTAGAAAATATGGAACAGTATTGTTTAAAAGTTTCAAACAGTAATTGATGTATTAAATGCAAAAACCTACCTTTTTTACTCAAAATTATATTTGAAAGCAGCTAAAATCATTAAATAGTCGGTGCATTCAAATTCAAAATTCTTTATTGATCCTTTAGGGATCAATAGGGGAAGATGAGGTTCTGTAGGAATTTTTCTCTTAAATGGAGTATAAAGCGGTGGTTGGTGAGGACGAGAATAGTGATGACCAATCAACAGAATCCAATTTTCTTGCATAATTACTTGTCATTACACACAACCTGACATATATTCTTCATTTCCGATATTTATTTTTGCAGACATTGTTATCTATGTGCTGAAACAACTCTGCCATGTTCATGTCAATCACATAGTCAATGCAGATTTCTGGGGAATTCCCCAGGCTGATGCTTCCTTAGAAATTTTGTGCAAACCACAGAGGAGTAAGTGGAGAACACACAATGTTTTATATGCAGTGACACTTTTAGTTAGTTGATGAGGTCCTCATGACATCTCATCCCTGAAGGCTGCTTGAGAATGGCTGACTGAGACAGTCAAAAGAGAAGAAACGACAACAAGAAGTTTCTGTCTGGCAAAGTCAAAATCAAACTTGATCAATTTTCAAGATTCAAATATAATTAATGCTGTTTTGTTCATTGTTTGTTTTACTTCTGTATATATAGTTTTAAAGTTCATAGATTTTTTTGGCAACACCTATTCAGTGTTTCATTGAGTTTTTTTTTCTTTGTCTTATTTTTTAGATCCTGAGGGATCAAAACTAAGAGATCACTAAGACACACAGCAAACTGACCCAGTACAACCATTCACTAGTAGTGCAACTTTTCTAGCACCATCAACAACTGTTTTTCCAAGATCTTCCCGTCAGCAGTGTTGAGAAACAGGATTATGGAAGTCATGTGAACTTAATTCTGTCTCTAAGCTAATGGCCTATTTGTGGACCTCTCTGATGCTGATAAAATGGGCATCAAGGTTTTTGAAAATGTTGAAATCCCCCCATCAAAATTTACATTATTACATCTCAGAATTCTGAAACCTTTTCTTTAAACTCAAAAGTGAGTCCGAGTAAACTTCTGAAGAGCATTAAAAACATTTCTACTTCTGAAACATCTTTTATTATTTCCTTTTTTCTTGTGTACCAAGTTTGAATATTTTTTTTTTCCAAATAAGGCTTGGATATGAGAAGAAATAAATGTGTTTCCACAGTCATTGGGGAAGCTTTACTGTAAATGGAGAGGAAACAATCTCAGGGTTTCTACAAAGAGGATGTACTGACATTCTTTCCTGTTCTTCACAAACAGGATAGGGATTTATGAGGTTTCAGTGGAAACAGGGCAGATGTTAAGTGACAACGTGTTGATTAGATTGTGAGTTCAGGGTTATAGATGTTAAAATTTCTGTAGTTCACATGTGAACTGAAGTGTAGTAAACAAATGAACAAGTGTTTTCCCTGAAAATGTATTTTGGAAGGCATTTTACAATATCTAACAGCTAACTGAAGGGAAGCTGCCAAGTTGGGCGGGTATGGAACTTCACTCCCTGCAGCGGAAAAAACCGACTTTGGAAAGAAAAGGAGACAAGTCAGCAGGAAAAAAATTGCTGAAAATGGGAGGAAACTCTTCAAAGTTCCAAATATCACTCTAGATCTTTCTAATGTTGCTTACTGAGATAAAAGTACATCTGAAAATATACTTTTAAGGTTGTAAAAACAGAACTATAAAGCTTTTTATGCCCATGCAAATAAAATACACCAATGTAATAAATAATACATGTTGGCATTTTTTCAGAAGCTATGAAAGGTGAAATGTGGAGAAACTGATGTGCTAGTTTTGCAAATGGTGGATTGTTTGCCACGCAAAGGGAATTTTAATAAAATTGTATGCAAAGTGGAAATGTGAAAACCTTAATATAGCAAATGACTCAATATGAATCAGCATCAAGCTAAGTTGCACTGCACCCTTCAAGATCTGCTGAGATGGCATTCATGCCACAAATTTCTTACTCTTACAACTAATTTCATACTTGTGTATTGTGATCTTATTCAACACAATCCTTAAGGTAGTGCCTTGATGATCTGAAAACCTACCCATAAGACTACACATTTTGTTATGTGATAATAATATTAAATATTGAAGGAACTTAAAACTTCTTTTTCATAAATTGTTCAAGCATTTCAAATTTTATGGACAGTGGTGGGAATCAAGTAAAATCTTTAGCAAACCTTATTTTCAAATTTGTACTGTATGCATTTCTTCTAAAACGTTCTGACAGATAATCATCAGAGACTGGCATCAAAGCTGTAGTGGGTTGTGGACTCAGCATTTAGAAAGATGTTTAGTGGCACACAGGCCCAAAGTGCTAGATTATGCTTTTATATGAAAATAAATATTGTGCAAAAAATATACATTGTGAGGAAGTGAAGTTTTTCACCAGTTCCTCTCTCACTTTACTTATAGTTAAGCTACCTCCCTCTTCGCTCTGCCCCACTCCTAACCGTCTCACATTCCTTTTCACTTTCTTATTCAGGCCTCAGGCATTGAAGTTGTGGAGGCTTTTAAGTACCTGGGTGTTTACTTCAACAATTAACTGAACTCGTGGGCAACCTCCTGCGAAGCACTATTTACCATTGTGTTGTTTGCTCTACCATGCACTATGCTATGGTCTGCTCGGGATCAGGCAGTTCGGATCGAGATGGAAAGAGACAGAACAAGCTGGCTAACAAAGACAGATCCAATAGCAGTCAAGGAAATACCACTCTCATAACATTTGTTAAAATAAATAATAAACAGCAGCAATTAGTTTATTGATTAATTGTGAAAGCAACTCAGGCGGAGGCAGTGAATGTATCTGAGCTAGAAGCAAAACTTACACTTTCTTCGAATCTTTGTATCTAGCTGCAAGCCTGCTCTTTTGGAATATTTTCGTGGTATAATTTGTTGAAATTATGAAATATATTTGCCCAAATGTGTACACTGCTGTGTACATTGTACTATATCCACAGACATAGACAAAGAATCACACTAGGCTGCGTGATTCTCAGCACAATGGGCCTCTGATTACTCTGCTGTGCTCACTTCCACAGACGGTTCACAAGAATGAACAGACACTGGGTTTTTCTATCCATTCTTAAATGGTTTCATGAAAAAAAATAGTCCAGGCAGACAATTTTGTTTGTTACCTGCAGTTCAATGTCTTAAAATCACCAGTCTAAACTTACAAAAGTTTGTTTGTAGACTGTTTTTTAACAGTGTTTATAATACTGACCAACATTTCTGGCCTCTGATGTATTTAAAAACAATTCTTCAGACACAAATTACTTAAATGGCTTTAAGCAAGATTAAAAAACACCAGCTGGTGACATTAAAAGATTAGTGCTTATAAATAATGCTGCAGAAAGCATTTGAAATTAAGTTAAAAAATAATGTGTGAAAAACAATTATGTTCATCGCTGACAATTATTTATAAACACCACTAGACTCTTTTTTGGGGGCAGTTACAGTGGATTCAGTTGTTTTTATGACTTTTATGAGTTTAACTGTCATATAATTAACTTACAATCTTAATCAGTTCTAAAACGGTTCAACCCAAAGTTTTCTTAGGGCCTTTGCCAACCATGTAAGACCCCATTCCCTTAGTTTTTGATTAGTTGCTTAGATTTTTTGCTTTACCCCAAAAATTTGCTTCTCAGTCCTTCTGCTCTTGCTGAAATCCACACATTACCAGATTTTCACCCCCTTTGTGCTCATTGAAAGTAGGTGGAGTTGTAACAGAAATGTTTGTATGTCAGAGAAGATCAACACAAAATAGTGTACAACTGTTAAGAAAATTAGATTTAATTTTAAATGTTTTTACAAATGTAAATAATTGGTGTGGTTTATTTAAGCCTTCACAGAAAGCTCCTTATCAGTTCACCGAGTCTACATGTGTGCATTTGTGAAGACCTCTGAGGTTTACAAGTGAACAAATGGTGTTATGCCACTATTCCATATTGTACATTGTGTTACCATCCATTATTGCTCAGTGAGTGTTTTTGGTCATTTTCTGCTGGGGTCGTAGTTAACACTAAATATCAAAGAACTGCTCGCTTATATAAGAATGTTATATCATCATTAATTGTTACAATCTGCATAATTACTACAGAAAGAAACTAAATGGAAGTGGGTAAACTGTGTCCAAGAAGTACCACTGAGAATAGTTTAGAGTGTTGGGACGTGAATGAAGGATTGCTGATTGTACCATGCATACAGTGTATGGTACAATGAAGGGTCATCAGTTTTTGGGACCACAGGGACATCACGATAATAATTTTATCCTGTTTTGTTCTGTCCTGGCACTAATTACTTTTTAATTCATGGAATAATTTATTCAATCCAGACTTCAATAGTTTTCCAGTCATTTGAACTTATAAAAAATGACTTTAGTCTTTGATTACATTTCCTCCTTTATGTATTCATACAAAAGTACATTTTATATACATTGCTTCATTGTTAAAAATTTTATATTTTCCCCTTTTTTATCTTACATAGTAGAGATGTTTTGGAATCTTTCTCAATGAAAAGGATTTTTGTTGTTCTGCAGAGTAGATAAAACCACCCGAGAACAATAAACAATTATGAAAAGAAAGTCAAGTCAGGAGGCAAATAACAGATAGTATCTTCACAGCCTCCAATGCAGACTCTAAACTGAATTAACCCCATTGTGTCCTTCCTGAACAACTTGTATTATGTCTCTGTTGTGATAAAATGGAACACAACAGGAAAACCTGGAAGCTCCAAGGATAAAGCTTTCTCAAGAACTTTAAACCATGTGCTCTTTAAATTACTGAAATAATTTATAACATATGTAGAAAAATGGTTTACAACATAAATAGTACAAACAAAAATATTAAGAGAAATAAAATATTTACAACTTACTTAGACTAATTATAAAAATGACTATAAAAAGTGCTTCTAAATATTAGGATTTGACACAATACAATAGTATTACAATGGGTTTGGTCTTCTATTAAAAGTGCAAAAAATAAAACTATAAATGAAAGTCACTTGTTTAGTTCAATGCTTGCTGGTAAGGCATTCAGAGTTTGGCAGTCCTTCATCTGCAGTAGATGTCCTAACAAACGGCTCCATTTCCAACAGATCTAAAAACAGACAAGAAAGCAAGGAGAAACTGCTTTATCAGAATTGCATTTCCATAGGGGTGAAAAAAGAAAACTGACAACTTTGATGTTTGTTCTTGTTTCAACATGAGATTCACGTCAGCACTTCAAATTTCATAAACAAGTTAAACAGGATTGTTTGGTAGGATTGTTTGGTGTTAGGTCAGAAAATACATATGAAATGGATACCTGAATGAAGAAGAACACTTAAAGAGATTGGAACTGTAATAACTCCGGCTTCAGGTCTTCTCCAGTGTCATATGAGCTATAGTGTCATCAAATAAGGAATTTGTGTGAGAATTATTGGGCTGTAATATTTATTTAAAAAAAAAAAAAAAGATTTTAAGGCATTTGTAATTAGCATTCCTGGGAATTAAATGTTAGTCACTGTAATAGAAATATTTTTGAGAAAAAAAATTAAAGTACTGAAATCCAGTATGATTTGAGAGAATGAATGCCCCCTTTCACCCGATTATACATTAGTAGAATGTTTAGAAACCTTGAAGAAAGCAGAGTGTGTTGCCCAGTCTAAACTGAGTGTTTTGTCTTCACTTCAAGACCACATGACAAAAAAAATCCTGAACATCCTTCACCCTGGGAAAAGGTTTCAAAGCTATTTATGACTTTATCAGAGTCGTTATCATCTATGCAAAACTTGGCATGCTGGTAAAGATTCACAAAAGTGTCCGAAAAACTAAATTTCTGCAAGAGCACATTAACAACTTATCAAAAGCAATATTTCCCAATCCTTGTCTTCAAGACACTGTTCCCTGTGTGTTTTAGGTGTTTCCTTGCTTCAGCTGATTTAAATTATTGGTTGAATCAGAGGAGTTTTCCAAACTGCTTTCATCTGAAAGCAGGAACAAATCTAAAACACACAGGGTGGTGTGCCTTGATCACCAGGGTTGGGAACCACTGATCCAAAGCATCTGCAGTGCACTTGCCTCAGTTAAAGGTCAGAGTTCATGACCCAACAAGTGGAAAGAGTCTGGGAAAAAATGACATCTATGGGAGAGTTTGAACTTAAATACAAAAGAGATAAAGTAGGGTGAGTTTTAATTAAGCTTTTTTTTTTTTAAAAAAAGCTTTTTTAAAGAAGCTTAAAACAGCCCTACATGCCAAACTGTTTTTGCATTGGTCTTTAATTAAAAACCAATGAAATCACACACTAAAGATGAATGCTTGAACATTGTTTCAGTGCTTTTCAGTGAATTTCATATCCTATAATGGAATCAAAGTGGTCAACCTTACTGTGCATTAATATGTGAACACGCAGAGGTTGAAGGGACAGAACATGCAAAGGGGAACATTAGCATGAAAAAAAGAATTATGAAGACTTGCAGTTGTTAGTAAATATTATAAAATAAAATCACTCACCCTTTTTTTCTCATAAGAAACTTGTTTAAAAAGAATGCAACTAGGCAGAGTACTGTGAAGAAAATGAAACAAAATATATCTTTTTATATTTTTCCATTTCAGAGAATAGTAATATTAACTTCCAAGTAGACACTTTAATCCATGTTACCTGTCGTAACAACCACCACACTGATTATAACAGCTGTATGTCCTGTAATGACACAGACAAAATAATGTAAAAGCCCGACCAATGATGATGCATCTTTGGATTTCAAAAGAATAACTCACCTTTATCTTTGTTTATATTTATAGTCTCTATATTCTGTTCTGTAAGAACAAATTAGTGCTGTTAGTGGATTTACAACATTACAGTTAAGATCAGATTTAGTCTTTGAGGTTAAACATCAACACACATAAAAATTCACAATGCTTTAGAAAACTGATAGAAAAAACTCATTCTGACTCTAATGAAATATAACATAAATAGTTACAAAGTATTATAAAAACAACACAAAATGCACAGCAGGCCTAGAGAATGTTATGTCATGACCAAAAAAAAAAAAAAAAAGAGAAAAACCCTAAATCAAACTACAGCATCATATCTGCTTGTATCACATTAAACTACAGTGAAAAATCAACAAGACAAATATTAAGACTTAGTTGTCTTTTATGGATAGCTAATGTTTTCACACAAACATTTACCATGTTGCACTTTTGCAGTTTTGATCTCTTCATAAGCAATTCTATTTGGATTATTGAGGATTTACAGACATGTTCTATGAGCTATAGAGTGTGCCGTTAGAAAATGAGTAAATAAAAGCAGAAATATTACAGGTTACAATGTAATTTTTCATAATAGTCAACTTTATCAACGCCACAGAAAATATGTAATTAAATTAAATGTGAGATAAAGTGAGACAGGATAATTTAGCTCTACAATTCATCAAAATACTTTATTACACAGATAAATAAACTGATATCCAACTGCTGGTTATTAAGTGGCTTTATGTTTACAGGTAAAATACAGAAATATGTTGGAATCAAAATGGTCAAAAGTTGGCAAGAAATTAATTTATGAACTGACAAAAGGAAGAGCAAGAAAAATATGTTGCCATAAAAACAATACAAAGCCCCAAAGTAAAAAAAATAAATAGTAAAAAAAAAGAGGAAAAAAAAACCATGTATTGTGTCTCAGAACAAATACATGCAAATTAAAAACATATGTTATTATGGTTTAGGCATTAAAGGGGGAACTAAATGACACATAGGTTTGTATGACCCTCCTAATTTGCTATGATCAGCAGTCTACACTGACGATTTCAAACTTGCACATTGTCTTAGAAATGTAAAGTAATTTCTCTTTCCTTTTGTCATAACCAAACACATGCGTTCATGACCAAAAAAAAAAATAAATAAATAAAAAAAGACCTGCTGCAATGATAAATTTTATGTTGAAAATTTGCCTACCAGCTTAACTTAAAAAATACATTTTAGAGCTTTATAAAGAACACTTTGGATACCTTTTTTTGAAGTACTGGGTGTAGTGTTATTTTCCTCAGATGGTCTTATTCTGTATCCTTTAAATGACAAAGTTAGCACAGTTATCATATATTTCCTAATTTGAATAAAATAAATGTGTTTAATCATTCAGAATAATGACTTCTAACATGCATGCAACAAATATGCAGGCAGAATTACAAGTGAATTTGTTTCTGTACCTTGTTTCAGTGTTGAGATATTTGTGGATGCTGTGACAGTTGTGACTTTGTGAAAAGTTGGTGTGGCAGTCAAACCATTACCAGTGGATGTTTCTGTTACATAAAATAATTATCATATAAAGCTGAATGAGGGACAGTTTATTGTGAGAGAGTAGATTTAAAATATATGTAAATGCTGTGAAAAGGTTTTTAGCTTCTTCAGGAGCTCTGTTTCTATTCCATAACCATATTTAAAAGTCAGCATATTTGTTTTAAATTCTGTATTAGTTGCCAGATGTACAGTAGTGCTGGGTTTTAAAAATGATTAATTGATTTGAATTGATTATCCTTTGAATGATCTAATATCAATACATAAAAGTTTTACATTATTCCTGTAATATATCTTTGTGACTTCTCAATGAAGTAGTTATAAACAACATTATTTGAAAAACTGTGGCAATTTAAGATCGAAAAACACAGGCACTGTTGAAATGATCTCCAATATTCTCATTCTTTTAAATTTTACAAAAAGCATTCAATGAAACAAGTTCTCAGTTTCAGCTCTTGTTTGCAAGGCATTTCAAGCAGAGGGAGCAGAAGTGCTAAAAGCTTTTTTCAGTTTGTACACGAAGAACATAAAGATGCAATAGTGACTATTTGGATTAGGAGCAGGGAAGCACTACACAATCTGACCAAATGCTTTAAAAAAAGAGACTTGCACACCACAGTCGTCCAGTGTATATATCACCTGGTATGCAGGGAAGATAAGCTATCTTGAGAATACAGATCACATTGGGTGAGGTAGCTACAACAATTCTACGGGTCTTGGCAGTATTCGGACTGGAATGTGATGAGTAACATTTTTATAAAAATGTGGTTAATATATCAATTATTTAACGATTTTACAAGGGGAACGATTACTAGTCTTCTAAATGGCCAGGCAAGTCTGGATAAGTTATTTTCCTTAATGTTTTTGATTACTATAAATATTCAAGTAATTTAAAGAAATCTGTCAAGGGGCAAATACTTTTTCACAGAACTATATACAAATCCTGTTGTTAATATGTCACAATGTACAATGTAAACATGTAACTGTGGAAAAATAGATTTGTTAAGCAGTCTATACCTTGTCCAGTTGTTGTGGGAGCAGTTGTAATAATGTTTGTTGTAATGTTGCCTTCTCTGGTCAAACCTTTAAATAAGCATTTAGCTGAGGTCATTCTCAATTCATATCTTCTGCGACATGCAGGTCATTTAAATTTGACATGCACAGCAAACTTTACAACTGACAGTCATGCAGGATGCATTTGATTGTAGGTTTGACTCACAGAAAGTATCTAATTATGTTGCAATCTCTTATTCAAAACTGCTACACTAAACTTGGATGATATGTTAGCAAGACACATTTTGACGAGGGACAAACAGTTTAGTGTTAAGTACATGTTAGGTGAGGTACTCTGAAGTGTTTAGGAGTGAATGGATGATCTAGTTAGTACAGAACCCACAGTGGATAAGCACAGGCATAAAAGGGCAAATAGAAAAGAATGGTCTCATCCTTTAGTGCTCAAACATGAAAGCCTTGTTATTGTGCTAGGTTTCTATGGCGATCCCTTGGCAACTTCTGTGTACACCCTCTTCAACTTAAAAATAAACTTATTTCATTTCATATAGTTTTACAATTGGATAAGATGAGAAAGAGCAAACAGAGACGGTCTTGTGACACACCTTTAATGCTTGTTAAAAAGCATGTTCGAACACAACAACGACAAAGCCAGAAGATATTTCAAACCATAAATAAGGATTTCAGAGGAATGAACTGCATTCCAGGCTGCCACTATTTAACCGCTCTTCTAGGCTATAAGTAAACAAACTTAGAAAGGCTTGACGTGTTTTTTTATGCAATACAACCACAAATTACAGTATTATTTCATTATTCTAATACATTATTGCATGTAATAAAGGATCTCAAATTCTAGTCTTTTGCAATTTCTCTGTATGTCAAGAACAAATATATGTTTGCCTTTTTTATGAAAAAAAATTTGCATTTGAACTAGTGGTGTTTGCTTTTTTGATTATGTTGGAATTCTAGAGAGACTTTTTTCAAAAACCTATAAAATAAGTGAAAATGAGCAGTTTGTCCTCTCAGGATGGATCATTGTCAGTTTTATATGGTGCTGAAATGATAGGCTGGACATTAAGTAGTTATACAAGTAGTTGAAAGATGGTTTACATTATTCACAAATGTATTTGCAAACTGTTTATATGTTGTCTTGGCTAATGAATCTTTTGTGAAGCCAGAAATAAAACACAAGGACTTACCAATGCATTGTGGAGGCTCAGAATTATATTTGCCAGTTTTGGTACACTGAATACTTTGATTCCCAAGCATGGTGTATCCTGGTTTACATGTGAAATATATAGTTTCTTGATATTTTGGTTTATTGTCACTACTCCAAGAATGTTCGCCGTTTTCTATTTCGGTTGGTTTGGAGCAAGTAACAACTGAGAAAATGAGAAAAAGAAAATTGCTGTTACATGTTCAAACATGCAATAGGAACAACTGTGTAGAAAAAAAATAGTTAAAACTGAACAGAACTTACTATTACATGATGCCTTTCCAAACCACCCTTTTGGAAGGCAGTGTTTGTAGCTTGATCCATTGATCTGGTAACTTCATAAAGACAAAACAAAAATGAAAGGGATGATAGAATTTGATGAACCTTAAATAAAGTTCAGCTTTGCAAGAAGGGCTTAATATTTAACTATTACCGGTATGCTACTAATTTTATATTTTGCATTAACTCTTTTCAGATAGAGTCATTCTCTTCCCTTTAACTAGGATGTAACCTATCTTTCTTCCCAAAAATAACATTGGCTATGATCTCAAAATCCTCATGGAAGAATGTGGTATGAGCTGATGAAACCAAACTTGAACTACTGGGCCAACATTCCAAGAGATACATTAAAGGTTTAAAACATCTGGCATTTCACTCAGGTTTTTACTAAACTCAATATTCTCTTACAAAAGCAAAGAACTGAACTGCAGTAGTAAAGTGGAATTTTTTTTATCTTAAAACTGTAGTTTAGTCTGGAAATATGTATAAACAGCTCCATAAATCTTATGACTAAAGTCATTTTCTACCTGATGATGACATGTGTGTTTTTTTTGTTGTTGTTTTTTCACAAATTTTGTTGACTAAACATTTTTTTTAAATGTGCGTACATGTCCAAATGAAGATCTTAACAAAGATCAGATTGTTGTATGGTACATAAATGCTGGTACTGCAGCAATCAACAAAAACACTCGGATTAGTCAATCTACTGCAAGTCAAGACATACACTTGATTTTCAGCGATAACACCATGGCATTTAATCAAATAAATGCAAAATTTAAATATGTGTAATAATACATACCCTTCTTCACAGGTTACTTTAACTATTGAACCAAACAGAGTACCCTGGCTGATGTCAATTTTCATGTGTGGCTCTGCTTTAGGGATACCACAGTCTTTCTCTTTGATATAAAAACATACACGCAGATTATGTAGAGACAAGGTGACCACATAAAGAATATTGGATACGATGTTCATCAGATGTAATAAACAAGTCTACCAGGACTCACTCTTGCAGTTGAGATCTGGCTCGGTCCACTTATTATCGATACAGTTCATGATCCCAGAGCCACTTTTCTTTTCATATCCGTTGCTGCACGCTAATGTGACCTCGGAACCCTCTGGGAAGTCATTTTTTAGAAGAGATTCTTCGGTGAGAACCATGTTCTCTCCAGCTTCAGGTTTAGAACATTGCGCTAGGAGAAAATAAAATAAAAATTAAGAAAAAACACACACTATCCTGGTAAAAAACCAGCCCCTTGCTCTACGCTTCGCTTTGTACAAAGAATCTGGACTTTTGCTTGCTTGAGGTGTGGACTTGACATGAGTTTTAAATTTTACCCACATGCTACATTTGGCCATGTCGTAATGCGCCAGTTCTATGCCATGAAGCTTACAGGAAATGTCCAGCACTGTAAACAACAATCCTCTACTGCCAAGAGAGGAACTCAGCTAAGCTGAACTAGAGGACTGTTAATGTTAATTCAGTATTAGGAAGTGGCAAACACTACTTAATGGCTTTGTTCACTTTCTCCACTGCCATAGCTAAAACTACAGGCAGGCTACAATTCTAAAGTGGGGCAGAAAATATCATCACTCCTTCTGTTCACTGATTGGCCTGGAAGAAATTCTTCCAGAGAAATTCACTTTGTTGGGGGAAAATCCAGATGGAGCCGTGAAGTGAGATTAGAAACGAGTGGAACTGCATTGGAAGGCAATACCCAGGCTATACAAAACTTATTGTGATATCTGGTAATTTTAAAATGCTCCTACAAAATATGCTGTGAAATGCTAATATGCTAAAGTATAAATTAGCATTTTGTGTGAATACAACAATCAGTCAATCAAATTTTATTTGTATAGCACATTTCAGCAGCAAGGCATATCAAAGTGCTTCACATCATAAAAAGCACAAAAACACAAAGTCATGCAAGGTTAATTATCTGGAAAAGATATTAACATGACTGTAATTTGTTTGTATGTGACATGCAGATTATACAGTTCATATGCACTCCAGAGGCATAACTTCGCATGTGAATGAGGATAATATGTGAAAAAAACAAAAGGCAAACATTTTTTTTCCCCAGGGGATTTAAACATGTACTACATTGTCTATTTTTCGTCTGCTGTGGCTTAAGTGCTTTGAATAATGATAATAATAGTAGCCTGCTATTATTACACCCTAACCTGCTGTGAACGTTTTGTCTTCTAAGCCTTCTCTCTAAACAAAATTGATACATTTCTAATATGCTTAATTTTAAAACGTAATAGCCTATTCTAATATGTTTATGTGGCGTTTAAAAGAACAATCTATTTTAAGAATGTTTCTTAGTAGTAGTTAAAGTCCTGGTTATTTTTAAATAAAGGCGTTGTTATTTGTCAAAGAAACTCTGACATTATGCAAACAAAACTTGAAACTGCTTTTTTATAGCCGACTTCGCCGGTGCCGCATTACTGACCTGCAACATTCCCAATCAATAGGTACAGGATGAGGAGTTTTCCCTGTCTGCGGCTGTCCAGTAAAACCTCCATAACAGACTGTAGAAGAAGACACAAACTGTCCGGATAAAGCTGCCTGTTCCTCAGTCCAACTTCGTTACAATGGAAACGCGGCGTGTAAAGTCGCTCCTCACCGTGTAAACGATTCTCCTCCTCCTGAAGCCTAATAGTGTCTCTGTTCGTCAAGTCAAACACAGTTACTATAGGTAGAGGTGGGGAGGTTTTCAAAATAAAAGTATTGGTGTGGTTATGGAAGTTTCTAATACTGTTATGGAAAACGTTTTTATACTTTATTGTTTTTCTCCAAAGTCAAACAAATAGCTTTCATTAACATATAACTTCACAGGACCCTAACCAATAAGCAATTTTCAGTTTTGATTACATTGTTTCCCCCAAATCTGTAAGCTGAATTTTAGAAATTAGTAATTCACTTTATTTTGGAAAATACTTCTGGATATGTTTAGAATAGTAGTTTTTGTTACATGCTTTTAAGGGGAGGTTTCTGCTTTTACTCACAAATTAGTCAAAAATTCTTACAAGAATAAAATAAACAAATTAAGGTAAGTATAGTGAAATAATATTGAAATATTCACATCGAAGTGATGGCTAAGACAGGGTAGATATATTTGTTTTTCTTCACCAGCAGTGGCGCAGTATAGGGGGAAAAAGTTATGACAATTATAAGGGCCCCTGACCAACAGGGGGATATTAATATATTTAAATTGTCCCTGTACCTGTTACCACACTTACCAACAGCTGAGTCAGTCAGCAGGAACTCTAGCCCAGTCCCTCCTGACCTGCCCTCTCCTGAGTGAAATTAAAGCTGCAGCATGTAACTTTTATAAAGATATATATCCACATATTTGTTAAAACTGTCATTATGTTGTGACAGTATGGTATGAAAAATAATCTGTAAAAATCTATTTCCTTTGCTTTGTCAAAGTGCTGAAAACAACCAGTCAGTGGCAAGAAAGTTTTAATGCTGTCAATCACAATCTCATGTGGCTACTCATCCTTCATCCCCCTCGCTCTGCAGCTAGCATAGCCTCTTGTGAGTGCTCAGTCTAGTTAGCCTAGCTACCAGTGACAGCAGATAAACGATTTTCCAATAATGATGAGTTGTTTCTCCACCATTAGCACATTTAGCGGTGAGTGAATGAAGTTGATTGACAGCACTAAGATCCTCCTCCTGGTTCTGATTGGTTGTTTTGGTTGGAATGTTGCATTACTTTAGCCAGTAATAGGAGTTCAGGGAGATTGATTGTTTTCACAGATTATCTGCCTCAAAACAAACTGTCACGACATGGTGACAGTTTTAACAAATGTGGAGAAAACATATTTCTTATTAAAGTTATGTACTGCAGCTTAAATAAAATGCAACTACATAGCAGTTTTTGAGAAGTCGGGATTGTTTTATTTGTATTTTGCATGTTACCTATGACTTGCTCATGGGGTGAGACATTTCAGAAATCTTAAACTAATACAAAATATTTGAGCACTGTATGTAGACTGCTGCATGTAAAATTCATGAGCAGTAAATATTGTGCTAGTATCAGTATTGGACCAAAGAAAGCAAAGCAGTTAGTTGCAAGCCTTTAAAATTGTGACCCTTTTGATAGGTCAGATAGACCCAAAAAATTGTAACAACAGCTGCGTGGGGGGCCCAATTAAATTTTTTGTCCTGGGGCCCAAGATTCCTGGCAGCACCCCTGCTCACCAGTCATCCTCAGCCTCATCAGTGTTAAGAAACAAAGTTTTTCTCCAAATGCTGCAATTGCAGAAAGTGGAATCCTTTCCATTCCTTTCCAATCTGTTAACACTCCGTTTTTAATCATCAGCTGTTGTTCAAATGTCTCTGTGAGGAAAAACAAAACACAATAATAAAATCAGAATTATTTTAATATAAATGTCAAACTGGCAATGACTTAATCCTTAAACTACTCCACCTTTTTCAAAGCACATAAACCAGTGAAACGAGTGTGAGTCACTCTCTGTAGTTTTGACTATTGTTATGGATACAGCTGATCATTTTTTTCCAAAAGGAGGTAGTGACTGATTGCCTCACACACGCATATAGTTACATTCCAAGGAATCCGGCACCCATTTTGAACCACAACCGCGTTGACAGGGACTTTCTTTTTCTCCACCCAGTGTTACCAGAGGAACACCCAGACATAAAAGTCTTGTTACCAGGCAACATAAAGCGTTGGGCCCTCTATTTTGACACTAGAAGGATTTTCTTATCCAAAGTTGTCCAAAAACATAAAATTTACTTTTAACACAAGATTTCTGATGAAACACATCACTCAGCTAATATATAATGCTTAAATTATCTTCAGGTTTGGTTTAGAAGTTGAAAAATGTAACGACTGATTATGTAAGGTCTGTAAAATGTGATCTGTGAAAACAGTACTGGCCTCTATTGCCTTGTAAGGCATGTAAAAATATACCAGCATTAGTAGGTGCAGGTTGGTGCATGGCAGGCTTTTCTTATCTCTCTCAACACTCTGTCCAAGTGAAGGATCAAGACACCTCCCTTTCTCAGCAGCTTACAAGAATGCATCTGTTTCTCCTCATGTCCGATAATGGGGAAAACATGTTTCCAAAGTATATATATATTGACCTCTGGCTGCATAATTCACCTGCTTTTAGACATACCAACAAAGTGATGCAAAAAACTGACTTAATATAGCTACTACTCCTCTCATGTTTCTTCTCATGGCTTTTATTTGTTCTTGCAGAATGCTTATGTTATCACACACTTCACTGCTTCAACAGCTTCAGCTTGGATATAACACTTAATTCCCATCAATTTTTCACAAAACTCCAGGAGTTTTTCATCTTAGCTGTAAAATCCTATTAAAAAAATAAATAAATAAATATATAAAGTTTTTTTTTGGTATTGTATTTTTAATACAATACCAAAAGCTAAAGCTAAAAGCTTTAAAGCTAAAACTGACTATTTTGTAGCACTTAGAGTTTCATTACTCATACCATGTTTTATTTCAAAAGTAGTAAGTGTAGTATTACCTTATAAAGTGCAGCATGAAAAAAAACTTATTTTAAGTCCAATGCTTTAAAAATAATCGCACGTGCCCTTCACTTGTACAAAAAATGCTGAATTTTACATGGGAGTTGGCGACATCTAGAGCTGAAAAAGATGAACTGCACCAAAAAAAAAAAATAATATTGACGAAAACATGATTCAACGCAGGGCCGTGTAAAGACCATTGGAGGGGAAGGGGCTCAAAATTAAAAAAGGGCACATTGAACAAGATCTTAAAACACCAAACAACAACATAGCAACAACCCATATTAATCAAGAATCTAATTGAATCCTTCTATATCATTGCCATCATGTGGAGACAATGCAAAGCAAAAATATATTTTCCCCAACAGACATAATGTTGCTGTTTCTGCTGGTGACAGTCCTGGAGGGCTGAATTGATCTGAATTGATCTGAGACTGTAGCTGTTAAACAGCCCAGAGGAGAGAAGGTCGCTGGTTATGAAGTTATGTAATAAGTACATTTTCTGCCATTTTACTAATTAAGCCCAAATGATATCTATTTAACTTCTAGAACAACTTGGCTGCAGACTGATTTATAGATCAGAAAAGCCTCAAGGGGTTTAACTCTATATAATTTTTTTATGTTAGCACCTCTGAGATCTGGAATTGTAGGACAGGGTTATCAAGGCAAAGAAAACTCAGTGGCTGTTGGTAGGGGCCTCCACACATTCAGGGACCATTCAGACCACCTAGAAATGGTTTAATTGTAACACAAACCATCGTTTAAACTGTCCTGGGTTCGATTCCCAGCCCGGGGTCTTTCTCCTTAGGTGTGAGTGTCTTTCTCCATGGAGTTTAGATGTTCTCCCAGTGTGTGCATGGGTTCTCTCCGGGTTCTCCGGTTTCCTCCCACAATCCAAAAACATGACTGTCAGGTTAATTGGTCTTTCCAAATTCTCCTTAGGTGTGAGTGTGTGTGCATGGTTGTTTGTCCTGTTTGTCTCTGTGTTGCCCTGCAACAGACTGGCAACCTGTCCAGGATGTACTGGTGCCTATCTCCAATGCAGCTGGAGATAGGCACCAGTAGCTCCCGACATGGGAGCAGGGAGCAGGGTGATCAGAAAATGGATGGATGGATGCATCTCTGACTAACTGTTTACATGTATAATTTAGTGGTCATAAAAGCAAAAAACTAGTATGCACTGGAATTAAGGTGGAATACATGCACACATATTCATGACATACTTTGACGAAATTAATTTCTCTTAGATGTAATTCTACATTTAATCTGAGAATGTGGACCTGTACTGGGTTGATTCTGTGCCTTAAAATAATTTTAACAGTACTCTTGGAGAAGCTTCTTAACTTATAGATTATAAGTTAAGAAATTATAAGTTAAGAAACTTATAATTTATAACTTATAAGTTAATTAACTTATGAATTTCTAAATGTACAAGTAGCTTATAAAGTTACACAACTTACAAGTTGATGTAAAAATAATGTTTCTTTTAACCACAAATTATTATGCTGAGAAGTAAATAACATATTGGGAACTACAGCTTAGATTAGTTCATTGATATATTAATGCAGTAGTAATGTAGCATGGAAACATTTTGCTAGACAAACATTGAGAAGTTTGAATTATTATCAAACATTATGAAGCCAAAAAGACCCTAAAAATATATAGGGCCAACCAAGATAATAAACTAATTTGCAACTAAAACTCAGTTTCACACAAATACAAAGATGGTAGCAATCTGCACCAACTGTTGAACTGGACCATTCAAGGTCAATAAAAAGCTAATCTTCTATTAGCAGTTTCAAAAATCTCTTTGATAAATATTACTTTGCCAAGAGACATCCAACATACATTTATCTTGGCTTTTGGGTCTATTCTTCCTCTTTATTTTCTTTGTCCCTGAAGGGTAAGTCCTTTTTAGTTACAGTTTTACTCACTTGGACACACACTGACCTAACATGGCCACTAGGGGGACCTCAAATCCAATTTCCGTTTTCTTTTTTTTTTGTTAAATTGATTTCTGTAAACAATAATAATGTATATTATTGTGGGGGGAAAAAAAGAATCACAACTTTATAATAAAATTGTGTGTTTTATTAGAAATCATTACTAAAAAAAATCCAATTCCATATAAAATTATAAATGGGAGTCTGCTTGTTTTGTCCATGGTTTAGTAAGGAACTCATCATCTTGAAGTGCTTCACTAGGTGTCCTAACAGATGGGTCCAAATCCAACCGAGACAGAAAGAGAAATAAGAAAGCAAGGAGAAACTGTTTAATCAATCAACATTTTGCACAGCTTAATGTCAACTTAACTGTCAACCCAGTTAGGTTGACATTAAAAGCTAAAATTTAGACTGCTAAATATAACAAACAGTTTTTACCTTGCAAATATACTTTTCGATCATTTGCTATTTCAGCCACAGAAAATGCTAATATTAATTTCAAAGAGAGAATTTAATTCTTGTTACCTATCGCAACTGTCAACACACTACCTGTAATAGGTGAATATTCTTTACCTGATAAATGACACAGATAAAATAATGTTAAAGCCAAACCAATGATAACACATGTTGCACTCAGCTTCAGACTTCCAACAATCATTAACTTTCAATTATAATTAGGGGCTTGCCTGCAAGAAAAGAACAAAACAATGTAATTAATAGATTTATAATATCAATATAAGGCCAGATAAGTGTTTCCTAGTCTGTTATAGGAAAAAAAACATTAGCGTTTTCTTTGAACAAGCCAGATTCCTCGTGAGATTTTGTCTTCAGGAGATGGCTCATCAAAGTTGTCACCAGACCGATGATCAGTGGTTTTCAACTTCTACAACTTCTAAGAATCTAGAATTGAATTACTGCTGTAAATTGTCACCCAAAGAAATAAAAATAAAAACTTTTTTTTAAGATTCCTGCCGAATTGACAAATTTTAAGTTAAGAAATGCCTACCAACCTGTCTTGAAATAGAATTTAGAGCTTCCAAACAAAAATGTTTGACACCTTGGCAATACAAATGATCATACTAGGTTTACATGGTGATCCTTTGCCAACTTGTAAAGTTGTAAAATAAGTACAGTGTCTTGAACTTAAAAACAGATTAAAATAAAATTTCACATAAGCTGTAAAATTTGTATAAAACAGAAAAAAGTCAACAGGGATATAATAAACTTTATTCTATGCTGACACGATTTAACCATTTTTGTAAGCTGCAAGTAAACAAACTGGGAAAGGCTTGAAGTAGTGTTTTTTATACAATACAAACACAAATTACTCCATTGTTTTATTATTATAACACATTATTGTATGTAATGAAGAATTTATCATCTTATAATATTATTGTATGTCAAGAACAAAAGTTATTTTACCTTTTATATAAAAAAAAATATTTCATTTGAAGTCAGGGTAAGGTTTGCTTTTAAAAACCTGTTGGAATTCCAGAGAAACTTTTTCAAAAAAAACTACAAAACAGGTGAAAATGAACAGGTAGTCCCGACGAAGTTAGGTTTCCTTCACAGGATGGATCATTGTCAGTTTTATATGGTGGTAAAATGATAGGCTGGGCAATGAATTACAGAAGTAATTGGAAGACGGTTTACAAAATTCACTTATGTATTTGCAAACTGTATGTTGTCCTGGCTATAGCAAATCTTCTGTGTAGCCAGAAATAAAACACAAGAACTTACTGAGACATTGTGGTGGCTCAGAGTCATATTTGCCAGTTTGGTACACTGAATACTTTCACTCCCAAACATGGTATATCCTGTGTTGCATGAGAAATATATCTTTTGTTGATATTCTGGTTCACAGTCACTATTCCAAGAATGTTTGCCATTTTCCACTTTGGTTGGCTTGGAACAAGTAACAGCTGCAGAAAATTAGAAAAATAATATTGCTATATCAGATTAAAATTGTTTTCACCTATGTCTTTTTTGTTAAGTTCATGTTGTCAGGCATTTTCTTTGATGAGTGACCTTTAAAATAATGTTATATCGTATTTTATAATTTTATGAGGGAAGCAATTACTTTCTCCCATAGGGCAAGGCTGGTTTGAACTGTTTTTTCCTTAATAAATAAAATTATCATGGTAAGAAAACATTTCATGTTTATTGTTTTTGTCTATGTTTGATTTTGAAAGGGATTTGATGACCCTTAATATTTAGACACTCTCAAGAAATCTATAAATGAGGGCAATTAAACTTTATAGAAATACATATTATCCTATTGTGAATGTGTCACAACGTTCAATATATGAGTATGAAACTGTGCCAAAAATATATTTTTACATTTTATATTGTTCTTTTGTTGCTAGAACAGATTAAATAATTTGTGTTGTAAATTTGCTTTATTCTATGAATAAAGAAGTCTGCTGAGATCATCCTGAATAAATATCATCTGCACTTTGATAAAGATTAGATCTGGGGCATGAAGCTAATTTGACATGTACAGCAGATTTTATTTACAACTAACAGTCATGCAGCATGTAATATGCAGTTTAATTCACAGGCCAAATCTATTTATGTGGCAATCTCTTACTTAAAACAGCTATACTTCACTTCGATGATATGCTGGCAAGACACAATTTGACAAGTGACCAACAGTTTAATGTTAAGTACATTTTAGGTAAGGTACTCTAAAGTGGATGACTCCATTCAATAGTAAAGAGCCCACAGTGGATACACACAGGCATATAAGGGCAAATAGAAAAGAATTATTCATGAAAGCCATGTCATTGAACTAGGTTTATGTGGTGATCCTATGGCAAATTCTGCTGTAAAATAGGTACACTTCAGCTTAAAGACAAACTAAATTAAGATTTCATATTAGTTATACAATCGCATGCAACAGGTAAAAGCCAACAGTGACACTTTTAATGCTTGTAAAAAAAAGCATGTTTGAGCACAGAAACCCAGGAGATATTACAAGCCAAACTAAGGATTTCAGGGAAATGAACAAAGAGCAATTTTACAAGTAGTTGAAAGATGGCCATGTTATTCACAAATGTATTTGCAAATTATTTGTATGCTGTCTTGGATAAAGAGTCTTCTGTGAAGTACAAGAACTTACTGATGCATGGGGGTGGCTCGGAATCATATTCACCTGCTTTGGTACACCTAATGTTTTCATTCCCCACCATGGTGTATCCTGTGTTACATGTATAATGTATCATTTGTTGATATTCTGGTTCTTCATCACTATCCCATGAATGTTCACCATTTTTCACTTCAGTCGGTTTGGAACAAGTAACAACTGCAAAAATGACAAAAAAAGTATTGTTGTTCCAGGTTCAAACTGTTTTCATCAACGTCTTTTCAGCCTACTTCATGTTCTTGATTCTATAGGTTTTGACAATAATCAGACAGGGGTTTGACGAGTGACATTTAAAAAAAAATCTTTTTGAGAAAACAAAATCTTTTTGAGAAAACAAAGAATAGTCAAACTGAACCGCACTTACTGACACAAAATGACTGCCCAAACCATCCTCTTTTTACGCAAATTTTGAAGCTTGATCCAGAGATTTGGTAACTGCATAAAGAAAAAATAAATCATAAAGATTGATAGACTCTGACAGGCCAATCTTAAATAAGGTTCAGTTGATTTACTGTTTACCTACTATGCTCCTAATTTTATCATTTGATTTATGCTTCACATAGAGTTATAGTTTGCAGACAGGATCCAAACAATTCCCTCTCCCCCGTTTAAGTTGTATCTTTCTTCATAAAATAACACTGGCTATAATCTCCAAAATATCATGAAAGTATGTGGCGTGAGCAAATGAAACGAAACTTGAACTTTTGGGCCAACATTGCAGGATGAAAGTCTTAAAAGTATAGGATGCAAAAACAAAAAAACAACAACAAAAAACATAAAAATGTGATGGCAGCATCATTTTCTTTCTTTGGAACACAACTTGTGTTTATGTTGGCTGGAGTAGCAGCCAGCTTCACTGTAAAAACACAAAGTCTTAAATTGTTTTGCTCCAGTTTCAACTGAAAATATCTTGAAATAAGACAAAACTAACCTACAGGTAGTGATTGAGCAAGATAAAGGCTTGTTTTAAGTCAATAATTATGTAATATGTACTAGTTCCATTGGCAGACAATTTCAAGACATTTTCCCCATGTTTTAAGTGAAATAATCTGCTATAACCTTTTGTTTTATAGCAAAAGGTTGCAACTAACAACTGTCAGGTGTGTGCTAAAAGGCAAAAATTATGGTAAATTTTGATTTTCAGCAATAGTGAGTTCAAGAATGTAGGTTACAAAAGAATGCCTTTGTCAGAAGAAAGTTACATTTTTCGAAATGTTCTAGTTTAAAAAAATGAAATGAACTCATAAAGCAAGAAATTTGTCTGAAACAATAATTTAATGTGGTAAAATGTACATGCAGCCCCCAAAATATTTCATGAATAATGCCATGATTCGTCTCAGTTAAAATATGAAGTAAGGCCATTTTCTACGTGATGTTAGTCGGTATTTTTACTAATCTTATTGACTCTAAGCATTTTTTATGTGTGAACATTTCCACATATAGATCAGATCTTAACATAGATCAAATTTCCGCATGGTATAATACAGTATATTCTGTTATTGCAGTAATAAGTTCAAGAACTCCTTCTAACCAAGCATAATCATGTTAGTGTCCCTCATGATTTAGTCAAATCGCTGAAAGTCAAGACAAACACTTGATTTTGTGAAATAACACCTTGGCATTTAAACAGAAAATTACATAATTTAAACACATGGAATCATTCATACCCTTCTTCACAGCCTACTTTGGCCATTGAATAAAACTCAGTACTGCCGCTGGTAACAATGTACATGTGTTCATCTGCTTTAGGAAGACCACAGTCTATCTCTTTGATATAAAAAAAAACACAAAAGAAGATATCAGTGTAGGATTATATAGAGCCAATACAACCCCATTATGCATGCTGGATGACTGTTTTCCTCAGGTGTAATATGCTAGTTAGACTGGACTCATTCTTTCAGATGAGATCTGGCTCAGTCCACTTGCCATCATTGCAGTTCATGATCGCAGAACCACTTTCTTTTTCATATCCATTTCTGCAAACAAGTGTTACCTGAGAACCTTCTGGGAAATCATTTGTTTCAAGAAATTTAAAAGTGAAAGTCATGTTCCCTCCAATTTCAGGTTAGGGACAGTCAGCTAGAAGGAAATAAAAATGAAGAAAAACCACACAAACCAAAAGGTTCTTTTGTTGTTTCAAACCAAATAATACGTTTATATTTCAATCTGGATCAACTCACACAGAGAAAAATAAGCAGTTAGAGGATTTTAATGAACAAATCTTTGGCGCTCGAACCGGCGGAAGACTAATGAGCGTAGATCGCCGGGGGGGAGATGCTGAGTCCGGCGAAGCTCACTAGTCTTACCCCCCGGTCCGAATACTGATGATGGAGCAGAGCCTTGGATGGAGGAGCGCGTAGGGCGCCTGGAGAATGGTCATCGGGCTGAAGGTGGAGATGGGGAGGAGGTGGGCGAAGCACAGCTGACGAGCAGGCAGATCCCCGGAAGCTCGTCTTCTTGAATGGACCGGCTTGACGTTGATTGGCTGGGACGCGCGAGGGCGCCGATCCTGATTGGCTGCAGCAGGGTGTGACGTGATTGAAGAGGATCAGCTGTGATGTAGATCAGCTGTGTTCTGTCTCCCAGCTTGAATTTACGCCTAAGCTCCATTTCAATCTGGATCAACTCACACAGAGAAAAATAAGCAGTTAGAGGATTTTAATGAACAAATCTTTGGCGCTCGAACCGGCGGAAGACTAATGAGCGTAGGTCGCCGGGGGAGATGCTGAGTCCGGCGAAGCTCACTAGTCTGACCCCCCAAAAAGAGGGTGCCGGCCGAGGCCTAGCTGCCTGCAGTCCGACGGACTGTATGCAGGCTCTGAAGCGGGGCCTGCAGTCTGATAGACTTGTTAGGCACGAGCCGCATCGTTGGCGGGGGCCACTAGGCACGAACCGCATCATTGGCGGGGGCCACTAGGCGCGAGCCGCATCGTTGGCGGGGGCCACTAGGCGCGAGCCGCATCGTTGGCGGGGGCCACTAGGCGCGAGCCGCATCGTTGGCGGGGGCCACTAGGCGCGAGCCACTAGGCGCGAGCCGCATCGTTGGCGGGGCCACTAGGCGCGAGCCGCATCGTTGGCGGGGGCCACTAGGCGCGAGCCGCATCGTTGGCGGGGGCCACTAGGCGCGAGCCGCATCGTTGGCGGGGGCCACTAGGCGCGAGCCGCATCGTTGGCGGGGGCCTGCAGTCTGATAGACTTGTTAGGCGCGAGCCGCATCGTTGGCGGGGGCCACTAGGCACGAGCCGCATCGTTGGCGGGGGCCACTAGGCGCGAGCCGCATCGTTGGCGGGGGCCACTAGGCGCGAGCCGCATCGTTGGCGGGGGCCTGCAGTCTGATAGACTTGTTAGGCGCGAGCCGCGTCGTTGGCGGGGGCCGCTAGGCACGAGCCACGTCGTTGGCGGGGGCCGCAAGGGACTGACAGACGTATACAGGCCTGATGAGCATGATGTGCTACGAGGAGCGGAGGGGGGACCGGTTGCTGCCGGGCTGAAGGCTGAGGATCTCTGGTCTGGCCGGTTCCCCTTGAAATTTAATGGTTAAAAATGGCCCAAAAAAAAAAAACTACATCGTCATGCTGACTGCTCACCTGATGACATGGAGCGTTGGGCTTCGAGCACAGTTGCGAGATTAGGTCTGATGTAGGAAGTGAAGGCCGAAGATGACCAGCGGCCAAGCTGGAGGAGGGAAGCGATGGGGACGCCTTGTGCTGGGGCGGATGTAGCAGCGCCTATTCTAAATGGATTTCCTGAATAATGATCGGGGAGAAGGCCACCTTCTCGTAAAATAGGGCGGAGGTGGCGGATAAACGAATCTGCGGTCGTGGGGAAGCCTACGGGAGCTATAAACTGGGGTTTAGCTTCCTGATAGATTTGATGCCTTTTGCACACGAATTTGAGTGTGGCACGGAAGGGGCAAGATGGCCGTCTATGCGTGGAGTGCGTGATTAGGAGGGTGCAATGGTCGGGGAAAAACTTGATATCGGAGATTGATAAATCTTTTGGAGGGTTGAAGACTGGAGAAGCTGAGGCGAACTCGCCCGACCTGAGGAAACCATAGGATGCTTGGAGAAGAGCGCAGGAGAGGAGCGCTTTAACGTAGTTGGAGAAAGTACAAGCTCGGAGCACGGTGATGAGCTTTATGGGTAGAGGGAGAGTGATAGGCTTCAGCGGTTGGGATACCTGGTGGAATGCTTAGAGGTCAAAGAGTAGAAGTTTCGCGGCTGGGTTCGAAAGGAGACTGGGTGCTGTGCTTGGTTGCGAAAGTTTTGCGTGAAGATTGATTCCTGCGAACGACTGAGAATATAGGGGATTTGACTGACGAAGGTTGACAGTGGGTGATGAAGGCGAGGACGTTGGACATGGTGACAGAGTATGAGGTAGAATTAACAGCTCCTGGCTGAGGATCACCGAGCGGGTGGTTGGTACGGCGAAGCTTAGGCAAGAGGGCTTGGTCGACCTAGCTGACCTGTTTCTGCAATATTGAGGCGCAGCGATATTGCGGGGCGATGTTGTACAAGTACTACACTCTGGTGAAAGAATAGGAACCTCTCCAAAATGTGACTTTTGTAGAGTCGGAGTCACTGACTGAAATGTTACTTGGTTAAAAGTCTTAAAGTATCTGAAATGCCCTGTACTTCGAAATACTTAAGTAGAAAAGTATATACTTTTTTTTTTTTTTTTTTTTTTTTTTTTTTAATACCACGCTGCTGTTGCGGGGGCCCTCCGAGGGGCGCGAGCCGCGTTGTTGGAGGGGGCCCTCCGAGGGGCTGGAGGGGGCCCTCCGAGGGGCTGGAAGGGTTGGAGGGGGCCCTCCGAGGGGCTGGAAGGGTTGGAGGGGGCCCTCCGAGGGGCTGGAGGGGCCCTCCGAGGGGCTGGAAGGGTTGGAGGGGGCCCTCCGAGGGGCGCGAGCCGCGTCGTTGGCGGGGGCCCGCCGAGGGGCGGAAGCCGCGTTTTGAGCTGTGAATGATGTGTCAGCGCTAACTAAAGGCCGAAGGCCGCTGGTCTGCCGGATTACTAGGTAAGAATGTGTTAAAGACTGTCAGTGCTCCATCGCCAGGCATTTGAAAGATACTCACGTAGCGGATAAGAACGTTGAGCTTCACGCACAGCTGAAGTTCAGTCCGACATGAAATGGAAGGCTGGGGATGGCCGATGGCCGAGCGATAGATAGAAGCTGTAGGAACACTTGGACAATGGTTATGCTGAACCGGCTGAGGGTGCAGAAAAGATAGTAGTGCCTTTCGTTTGGGAAGCTTATGGGGAGGTTGTAGTGGTCAGGGAAGGATTGGGAACGGACTAAGAAATTCGAACGATGCTAGGAAGGAAGCGGATGATGGGGGCGCTTGGTGAAAGACGACCCTTTGTAACGGAGATACCTTGACTAAGGATCGAGGAGAGACTAGATGATGTGCTAGATCGCTGAAGCGCTACACAGAAAATAATTCCGACAGGCAGAACTGGACGTGACAAGTTTGGATCAACAATCATCGAGACGGTGAGTGATGAAGGTGAGAACTGGACGTCTTAAAGTATCTGAGAGAGCTGGAGGAGTAAGGGAGACGGATTCATAACTGAGCAGGACTTGGTGACTGATTGCCGGACGACGTAAACGAGGAAGTAGTAGAAGGGCAAAACCCGATTTTGTGCCATTACGTGCTGAACACAGGAAGGGATATAGTGTCATTTAGTCGAGCGTTGGTTCTAAGAAGGATGGATCAGCTCAGGGAGAGTAATGGCCGTGAGTAGTGACAGGCAGCAAAGACCTGGCTTCTTTCATAGGCTGAGCGAGTTCTACGGGGACGCAGAAGAGGAAATGAATAAAAGGTATAAATCTTGATTGACATGATCGTCACTTCTAAATTTGTCCAGCAGATGGTAGCAGGAGACCATGAGAAAGCCATGAACTGCGTTATCATGAGCTTGAGACTTAAATTCCCATAATACATTCGAATTGCACGAATATACAAAAACTACTGAAATACTGGTGAGACTTATATTAATTTTTGGACTAGGCGATTATGCTAAATGCTTGTTTAGCGATGAGCGTGGGCTCTTAACGCCAGAGGTTGTTGGCAACTTGAGTTTAAGACAAACCGGTTCGCGCTGAATTCGGGAAGTAGAATAGCAGATGCGTACCCGACGCCTTAGAAAACGTGTATTGCCTTAAGCGCCGCTCTCTGATGGCCAGCGAGAGCCGCACGAGAGATCGACCAACTACGCGTATTTAAATGAAAAACAGGCAGAATTACGGGAGCTAAACGAGATACTCAGACAGCACAACCCCTAAATATAAAGAAGCAACAAAGAAACAAACCCTTATCGAACCAGACTTAACACCCGGACTCGTCCGTGACTTTAAATAATCACGTCCTGTTTAAATAAGCTGAAGCTGTGGCAGACAGCCTGAGGGCCTCTGGGATTAGAGGGCAGGGTGTGCCGAGGAGCGACTGGGCTCCTGGCGGAATGGAGCGATCTAAGCCAGCAACTGAGGCGAGGGCTTCGGGGCCGGGCGGGGAATGCCGGAACGAAATGCTGAATTGAGAGCCGATTAGGCTGAGATGAGGTGAACCCAGCTCGCTGACTGCACTAAGCGTTCGGTTGTCCCTGAGACGTACAGATTGACCCGCCCAGGGGCGACATGAACATGCATTGAAGTGCTGGTGCACTGACTGAGAGCTGAGCGAACGGCTGATGAACTGGACAGGAGCGGGTACGTCTTACCTGGCAACGCCCTCGATGGGCGGGAGATGTTATGGTATGATGAGACTGAAGAGCCGGCTGGAGCCAAGACACGGAGTGAGCGCAGTGGTCCGGAGGCAGCGTACGCCTGGCGACGAACAGGAGGAGACCGTCCAGGTAATGGAGCCAGTTCATGATGAGACAGCAGAAACAGCAGGAGGAACCAAAGCAGGTCTTGGGGACAACCTGCGCACGACTGCGGGGCAGCGTCAGAGAGCCGCAGCAATTGAACGATCGTGAGCCGGAGCAGGGAACCAGGCGGATGACGGAATGTGACCACGACATGAAAAGGGAAGATGTCCCGCTTCGACGCCGCCGATGGAGGCCGAAGGAAGGCTAGGAGCGGCAGTAGGATCTGTGAGGAGCCACTGGAAGATTAACGAAGTGCAGCCGGCGGCCAAGGGATGATTCCTGGACCTGAGCGGTGAAAGAAGGGAAGGACATCTACGGTGCTCTGCAGACCAAAGACGAAGCACAGCTGACGAGCAGGCAGATCCCCGGAAGCTCGTCTTCTTGAATGGACCGGCTTGACGTTGATTGGCTGGGACGCGCGAGGGCGCCGATCCTGATTGGCTGCAGCAGGGTGTGACGTGATTGAAGAGGATCAGCTGTGATGTAGATCAGCTGTGTTCTGTCTCCCAGCTTGAATTTACGCCTAAGCTCCATATCCACTTTATGGCCCACATGGTTGTGACTTCAAAGTGCACCAGAAAATGAAACTTGGGAACTGGTAAAAAGTACATTAAACAAAACTGCTAATAAACATGGTAATGCGTGCATGTTAAAACCTTTACATAAAAACAAATGCAGATTTTAAAATGCTGATGACTCCTTTGTAATTTGAATGGCTTTGCATTAAAACTTATGCTGTTTTACTAAAAAATGCTTCCTATCTAGTCTACATACAAGTAGGCTACTGTAAAATGAAGTGTTTTTAATTTTGCCTGGCTGGTCCTTGATGTCATTAATACAAGTCATTTTGACGTTGAAACGTCTGGAGGACGTTAACAAACGTCCAGTCATCACTTTCCTTTCGTCCGCAGTCAACGGCCGCAGGATATTACATTTTGATGTCCGGCAGACCGCGTCAATGCTCCGGTCCGGGGCCTGTTTTTCACAAATATTAATGTTTCACAAATTGCTATGAACGCACACCTACGAGCTTTTATGTCTTCTAGAAGATACAGCTTCTACAAAATTAAAGCATTGCTAATCTGTTTATCTTATAGATAACTTAGTATTTGTGTGGAATTTAAACGAAAAATGAACGTTTCAGTAATGTGAAGGCTGCGACGCCAAGTCCACCTTGTATTATTCTCAAAATGACCCAACATTAAGGGGGAAAAAAACGATATCTGCTTTTATATGTGACAGCAATAGCTAATACATACATATACAATTCATTTAGCCGAATTACTGACCTGTAAGTGCAACATTTCCAATCAATAGGGACAGGATGAGGAGTTTTCTCTGTCTATGGGTGTCCAGGAAAACCTCCATAACAGGCTGTGGAAGGAGATACAAACTGTCCGGGAAAAGTTACATCTACCCCAGTCCGACTTATTTAGAGTGGTAATGCAGTGTGAAGACGCTCCTCGCGGTAATAACAATTCTCCTTCCGCTGATGGGAATTTCGCCTTTTTTTAAGAGAGGGCCGCTGTGTTTGAAGTGGCTTATAATGATGAACGTCTAACACTTCAAAGAGCCGGTATTCTTCAAGACCAATCAACCCTGAGTATTGAATGATACGTTTACTGAGGTCTGAAACTACACAAATCCGATTTTTTTCCCATTCAACCTGTTTCTGAACTTTTCGTGACACAGATCCGATATGACCCAAGGTACTTGGATTTGTGGTTCTAAATCCGAAATGAGGTAGTGAAATGAACAACTTCTGTGCCGCAATTCAACTGAAACTTAAACTCCTCTATTTCTGATGTCGACTTCGTCAACGTTATGGGGATATTAATTTGTTTGGACAGGAGCCCATGGCGGTGTTTGCATATACACTCATGAGTTTTTGTTTGTTTGTTTGTTTTGGGGGGTTTGGGGGGATTACCATAAACTGCTGCTCATTCTATATATATGCAATATCCCCAATTTACCATCAAATGTTAAAAGAGACTTAGTGTTTCATAAACATATTTATCTTTACATATGAATGCTACATATACTATACTCATTCTTCTATTGTCAGAAATAGATTTTTTTTTATCTTATCTGAAAATGTTTCATTTTAAGGATGATGATTTGAAATCTTCCTCAAAAAATGGTTTGTTATTGTTCTGTATAGTAGACAAAAATCTGACAGTAAATGTTCATGAAAAGAAAGAATTTTCACCAGCCACCATTGAAGTTTGTAAACTGAATTAACCCCATTGTGTTGTTCGTGGACAACTTGTATTATGTATCTGTCCTTATAAAACATCACAAAACAGAAAAACCTGGAAACTTGCAGGCTTAATAGTCATCAAGAACTCTAAGATGAGTGTTTTTTTTTTTTTATAATGAAAATAATTTCTAACTTAAATAGAAAAAAAAATGGTTCACAACGTAATTAGTAGAAACAAACAATAAATATTTTCAAATTTTTACTAACTTGGTAAAACCAATTAGTGTATAAAACGGTGCAGAGGTCAAAGGCTTATCCAAGGCTTGGTAAGGCGCTCAGAGTTCGGCAGTCCTTCATCTGTAGTAAATGTCCCAACAGCTGGGTCCAGTTCCAACTGAGAAAGAAACACACATAAGACACTAAGGAGTAACTGTTTAATTACAGTTGCATTTTCATTGTGGTGGAAAAAAATAAGACAACAGGATCAAGAGCTATTTCTTCTTGCTTCAATATGAAAACCATATTTATACTTAATGATTCACACAGAAAATTACAAGAAGAAAAATGAACAAGTTAAAACAGTTTAAACAAGATTGTTTGGTAAAATGATAAAATTCATTTCAAAGAGGTACTTTCATTCATGTTACCTGCCACGCCTATCAACAGTAGGTTTAATTTCTGCAAAGATAAAATAATATTAAAAACAAACCCAAGAGTTTCTGAGTTTCTGAGCTCAAAAACCAAATGAAATGGATACCTGAATGAAGAAGGATACTTAAAGACTTCGGAACTGAAATATCTCCAGTGTTTACTATCCTTCAGAGTTATCTGAGCTATAGTGTCAAAAGATAGAAAATTTGTGTGAGAATTATTGGACAGTTAATTTTTATCAAACAGTTAACTGATTTAATGCATTTGTAACTAGCATTCCATGGAATTAAAGGTTAGTCATTGTAATGAAAATATTTTTGAACAGAAAAAATATACAAAAGTATTATAAACCAGTAAATTTAGACAAAATTAAGGCTACCTTTTACCCAATTGTATATTAGCAAACACTTAGCCGCCTTGACGGAAGCAGTGATCATTGTCCAGTCTAAACTTTGTGTTTGTCAAAAAAAAATCCTGAACATCTTTCAGCCAGGCTAAAAGTTTACGAAGCTATTTCTAAGGCTTTATGACTCCATTGAAGTACACAACCACTTATCAATCCAGATGTTTGTTTTTTCTGGTTTTTACAATTTCCAATGAAATCCTAATTTCAATGTTTTGTCATTTTCTTTTTTTTTTTTTACTTTTTTTCAGGTATTTTTTTATTTTTATAAGTGGTTTGATGATAATAAACATTTGTGCAAATAATAAGAAATCTGTAAATGGATTGTATTTAGTTTCAAGTAAAGAATCTCAAACATTATTACATAGTAGTTAATGTGCTTTTTTCTCCTTGGCAGTATGTTTTTACTTTCACCCAGTTACACAGACATTAACAGCTAAATTTTAACCTGCCTCAGTGTTTTTACATTAGTCTGTTATTAAAAACCAACAAACACCATAAAACACTTGAAGATGAATGCTTGTACATTGTTTCAGGGATTTTCAGTTAATTTAACACTAAAATGGAATCAAAGTGTTCAACTTTACCGTGTATTTACATGTAAACATGCAGAAGTTGAAGGGAGAGAACATGAAATAGGGAAAAGGAGCAAGATGAAAATCGTAAATGTTTATATACAGCTCTGGTAAAATGAGAGGTTGATCATATAAAATGATCAATCTCTCTGATTTTAGTTTTTTACATGTTTGAGTAAAATGAACATTGTTCTTTTATTTTATGAACTACTGACAACATTTCTCTGAAATTCCAAGCAAAAAGTTAGTATTTAGTTGCAGAAAATTAGATATGGTCAAAATAACAACAACAATAATAATAATAATAATAATAATAATAATAATAATAATAATAATAATAATAAGAAGAAGAAGAAGAAGAAGAAGAAGAAGAAGAAGGAGAACAAGAAGAAGAAGAAGAAATGTAGCGCATTCAGACCTCAAATAATGTAAAGAAATCAAGTTCATATTCATTTAGAAACAACAATACTTATGTTTTAACTCAGAAAAACTTCATAAATCAATATTTGGTGGAATAATGATGAGGTTTTCAGTGGGGTTCAGTCCACTGGTTTCTTAATTTTTTTCAGAGCTGTACATAAAGATATCCAGTTATTTGTAAGTTTTAAATATAATATCTCACCATCGCCTCCAAACCCAAAGGATGCAGAAAAGAAGTGCAAGTGAACAGCCAACTGTGAAGGAAATGAAAGGAAAAAGATTTTTGATAATTTTGCATTTCAGTCACAGAAAATGATAAAATTCATTTCAAAGAGGTACTTTCATTCATGTTACCTGCCACGCCTATCAACAGTAGGTTTAAAGGAGGTTTAATTTCTGCAAAGATAAAATAATATTAAAAACAAACCCAAGAGATTTGCTCTTTAGATAAGAGCAAAACTAAAGATGTTGCTCTTTTCTTTAGATTTCAAAATACTCTGGTCTGCAAGTACAAAACAGTGTAGTAAATGGATTTACAAAATTACAGCAAAGATCCAATTAAGTATTTATAAGGAAAATATCAACATAGTTAAATATGCACAATTCTTTGGAAAACTAATGAAAAATGGCTCCTGCTTAGGCCAAGACACATCCACTTATGATTCTCCAAACATGCCATGTTACTTCTGCGATTCTTTCGTAATGCAGTGACTCACCAAGGTCGTCTCCAGACCGGTGATCAATGTAGAAGTTTTCAACTTCTACATTTCAACTTCTACATCTATAATTTATTTACTGCTGAGGTACACAGAAAATTCACTTGATTGTGATACAAAAAAAAAGAAAGAAAAAGAACTGGTGGATTGACAGAGTTTAGATTAAAAATTTGCTTTTCATCTTTGTTTAAAAATACATTTCAAAATTTTTTATAATAAAACTTTTGATACTTTTTAATAAGGTGAATGCTGATGCACTGGTTGTAATAATAGTTTCATCAGATGATATTTTGTTGACTTTAAATGACAACGTTAGCATAACTCTTGTTATTAAATAATTTGGATAAAATACACGTTTCCTCAAAATACCCCAAAACTCCCTAGTGAGGCTGCTTCCCCCACGACTCGACTCAATATATAGATGTGGTCAGGAAATCTTTAAAGGGGACAATTTATTTTTTGTTGAACTTTATGTAAATATATATTGTCCTCCAGTGAAGGTGACAAAAAGTAAAATAAAAATGCAAATCTATGCAAAAATATTCTTCTTATATATTCTATAAGTTGTTTTGTTGCAGGAGTGAATGAAATATTTTTTGTTGTAATTTTGCCTTCTGTGGTCTATTCTGTCACAAAGGATTCAGCTGCATTTTGATGTATTCTAAATATGCAACGTGAAGCTAATTTTAATTTGGCATGAACAACACACTTTATCTATAACTGTCATTCATCCACCATCCATTTGTTTTTAGGTTTAGTTCTTAGTAATTACATATCTTGCAACCTTCTATGCAAAACTTATCTCCTCTAAAATATGTTAGCAAGGCACATTTTGACAAATGATCAACAGGTTAGGGTAAAATAACTTTCATATTCAAGGACTCACCCTTGCAGATTAGATCTGACTCAGTCCAAGTCCCATCAATGCAGGTTATGATCTCAGAGCCACTTTCTTTTTCAAATCCATTGGCGCACTCATAGGTGACTTTGGTACCATCTGGGAAATCCTCTCTTAGGAGGGATTCATTCGTGAGAACCATGTTCTCCACACTTTTAGGTATGGGGCAATTACCTAGGAGGAAATATAAATCTTGCATGAGCCTTGTAGTTGATCAGCATTTCATCTGCCATTACCCAACATTGATGCTGCAGCCTACTAACAAGACCACCAATGCCCCATAACGACTTATATAGTAATCGTAGATTTTCAATGTTATTAATTTTGTTCAACTAAATAACTTGAGATCATGTTGTCAACCATTTCCTTCCCTTTGTGATCACTCCTCTACTTTCAGTTCTCTATAAAGCTAGGATTATTGTTGACAATTTGAACCTGCTTGGGGACCTACAAATATTTGTGGGGATTGCTCTGCATGCACCATCTTTCACTCAAATTGTATGGTTGCATTTCAACTCATTGTATGATTACAGAGCAGGTTAATATTCACCAGCATTTCTATGAACCCTCTCTGAGGATTCATTTCTGAAGAATCAGGGATGGATTTTTTTTTTTTTTAACTGGCCACATGGGCTGGTAAAGAAAACTTTTCATTGTCGACACAAACATTTCACAAGCCACTGTTTTCTTACCTCATTCCATGCTAAGTGGCTCTCATTGTGCTTATCAGGAACTTAAAAGCTTCAGAAATAGCTTGACAAATTTTTCCAGATTGATAAATATCAGAGATGTTGTCATCTCATCATAAAATAACTGAGAACAAGTCATAATATGTTGCTTTTTTAGTTCTTCATAGACATGTTGTTTGGGAGTCTAAAAGTATATTTGATGTTTCTTATTAGTTCGGTGTGAAATCTACAAAAGGCTGGAAATACAGTGTATATTATTATCCTCTAATGAATGTGTCACAAAGTATAATATAAACACAATAATAAATTATGATGAGATCTGTGCTTTTATTGTACATACATTGATTTGTGGTTGAGCTTTGTAGTTGACTTTCATATATAAAACCACAACTCCCAGGACTATTATATTACTGAGGCACATTATTGAAAATATTGTAACAAGACATTTTAATGTATCTTCTTTTACAATTTCACTGCAAGAACAAGAGTAAGTTTGTTTCATTTACGGAAGAATATGTAGGTAAAGGCCCATCTGGGAACGTGCATTATGAACAAGCTAGGGCTGTAAATATTATATCACTCATAATTTGTTTATTCTTAACACTTATTCCCATTCAAATAAACAGTAAAGACAGAATTTGCATTTCAACTCATGCTATGGTTTGCTTTTTTGATCATGGTAGAATTCTGATGACACTTGTTCAAAAACCTGTAAAATTAATGACAATTAACCATTAGCCATGTTGCATTAAGGGTTTCATCTCAGGATGGATTATTGTTAGTTTTATACAGTGGTGAAATGATAGGTGGGACAATGAGCTAATTTACAAGTAGTGGAGAGATGATTTGTGTTATTCACAAATGTGTTTGCAAGCTGTTTGTATCTTGTCTCAGCTAACTGATCTTCTATCAAGCCTGAAAATAAGCACAAGAACTTACGGACACATCGTGGTTGCTCAGAATCATATTCAGCACTTTCAGTACACGTAATGGTTTCATTCCCAAACAAGGTGTATCCTGCGTCACATGTGAAATGTATAGTTTGTTCATATTCTGGTTCACGGTCACTATTCCAAGAATGTTTGCCATTTTCCACTTTGATCGGTTTGGAACAAGAAACAGCTGGAAAAATTGGCAAAAGAAAAAAAAATTGCTGTTTCAATCAAAGTCAAAGTTTATTTTTATTGCTCATTTTTAACAGCCTCAGCAGAACAAAGTGCTTCATAATAAAACAACATCGCAGGGAGATAAAAAAATCAAATGAAATTACATTTAGCAAAAATAATAATAATAAAATTAGCAAAACTTCAAATAAATGAAAACCAAAACATTACATAATTTTAGATGAAGCAATTTACCTCCATCCTTCCATTTCAGGCACAAAGTGCTTCAGTAAACTGTGTTGAGAAAAGAGAGAATATTTCAAACTGATCAACACTTACAGATACAGTCTGCGATTCCAAACCATCCTTCGTCCATGCACTGTTTGGACCTTGATCCACTGACCCGGTAGCTGCATAAAGACAAAGGAAGTCATAAAGACTGATACAATCTGTTGAGCCATGAATAAAAAAGTTTAGTTTGCGTGTCAGATTTAATAATTAAAGATTATGGTAAATTTTCTATTTACTCTTTTGGAGTCATAGTTTGCTGACAGGATCCAAACGCCCCGTCTTTTCAGGAGGATGTAGGCTATATTTCTTCCCAAACTAAAACTGGCTATATAAATTTTATAAAAGAGTAAGGTTTCTGTTTTAAAGAATAATTGTACAGCACATACACACACCTACTCATAGCATGTTGCTCAATGTCATAAAGGGGAGGAAAAACTAATAAAAAAACACTTCTGCAGTTGACAAAGCAGGGTTTCCACCAGAAAACATCAGAGCCCAGTGGTAGGGGCACCCAGGCGGTCAATTGTGTTTTTGTATCAGAGGATGTTAAGCTGACAGAAAATTTTAAAATATGAAATGTTACAGGAAGATATCACCAGTGAAATGCTATTTACACCAACAGCAATAGTCTTACAAGCAACAAATAAAAAAAATACAATTAAAATGAGTAAAAGTAAAGCCTGGCAAGCCGTACAGCTTATAATACACTGGGGGAAAAGCTGCAAAAGAATGAAGGATTACCCAAAAGTGCTAATTAATAACACAACATAGGAAAATTTGAGGTAATATTAGCGTTTTAACAAGTTTTCTGCCAAAAAAAAGAGCAAAAGATTCTTTTGTGTTGATCAGCATTATATGAAAATAGGGGGGCAACATAAATAAGTTGCTTTTCTCATGCAGCAGTTAGATGGAAGGAGAGTGAAAAACCTCTCAGTGGTGGCTGTGGCAGCATCAATCAATACAAGAAAAGAGTTACTATACGATTATTGATGTGTGGATCGGAATTTTCTGAAATAAAATACTGTAGTCGAAATAATAACAACACATGAAACATAAGTTTTTAAATATTATTGTATTAATATTGATAGACTTACATGGAGTATAAATAATTACAAACTAACCTCAGCTCTTATAACAAGAAATTATATAACAACTGGTAGAAACGCACTGGAGATAAAATAATAGTTCCTCAGCTGAGTTCACCTACCTTTAGCACCCTTGAGAAACAGTGAAGTTACCACTCTTACACAAGGTATGCTCCATTAAGGGTGAAGAAAGTAGTCATTTTATGTCTTAAATATCAGGAATGTAACTCAGTTGATTAACTCAGATTTATGTTTACTGAACGTTCACATATAAAAACAACTGAACTGAAATCATGAAGCAAGAAATTTGTATAAAACGCTGCTGTGAAGAAATGTATAAACAGCTCATTACTCAGTTCAACTCCATCAATTTTCTATTTAATCTCAAATTTTACTAATCCACACAAACATTTCACCAGCAACTTTTTCTCCCTGTGTGCAACATCATCGCTGAGCTATTTCAGAGAACCTACATCACATTCCATTTTTTCTACATTGGATGTAAGTGTCTCTCATGGAGTATTACAGTTTAAAAGCCTCAGAAATAGTTTTAAATGACTTAAATCAGGTCATAATGTGTTGGTTATTTAAAATCTTTATAGCAATGTTGTAAGGGAGTTTTCACACATTGTTGCTGATATATTGGCCCATTCTTCCATGCATATCTCCTCTAGAGCAGGAATGTTTTGGGGCTCTCGCTGGGCAACACAGACTTTCAACTCCCTTCAATGGTTTGCTATGAGGTTGAGATCTGCAGATAGAAATGCTTCTTACGAAGCTACCCCTTTGTTTCCCTGGCCATGTGTTTGGGATCATTGTCATGCTGAAAGATAAGCCTATGTTTCATCTTCAATGCCCTTGTTGATGGAAGAAGTTTTGCAAACAAAATCTCCTGATACAGGGTCCCATTCATTCTTTCATATACAAAGATCAGTCATCCTTGTCCAGTTGCAGAGAAACAGCTTCAAAGCATGACGTTGCCATCCCCATGCTTCACAGCAGGTATAGTGTTCTTTGGATGCAACTCAGCATTCACTTTCCTCCAAACACAACTCAAGTTTATACCAAACTGTTCTACTTTGGTTTCATCTGACCATGTGACATTCTCCCGATGCTGTTGTGGAACATCCAAATGCTCTCTAGTAATCTTCAGATGGGCCAGGATATGTACTTTCTTAAGCAGGGGAACGTTTGACTCTGCAGGATCTGAGTACCTGGTGGTCTAGTGTGTTACTGAGAGTAGCCTTTGTTACGTTAGACCCATCCTTCTGCAGGTCATTCTGCACCCCCCCCCTCCATTTTCTTTGGGGTGACTGTAAATCTGGAGGTAGAGCAGTCATCTGTGATAGGAAGGTGGAAGGTTAAAGTCCAGCATCCCCTGCCACATGTTGGTGTGCTCCTGGGCAAGGCACATAACTAACAAATTGCTTTCCAGGCTGTGTATTGGTTTACAAATGTGTGAGCATTTATGAATGCAAATGGGTGAATGTAACTCTAATGTAAATCGCTTTAAGTGGTCAAAATTATTGGAAAAGCTGTATATGTTCAGCCCATTTACCATTTTCCATCGGGAATTTTTGATGCATGGAGTGAGATCCTTCTTGGATCCCCAATCAAGCGGTATTATCAGTAGTCTTGAATGTCTTCCATTTTCTCATTACTGCTCCCACACAACAATACAAGCACAATAACAAACAAAAATAATGCTGGATATGTAATTTTTTTTTAAGAGAGTTTCATAGGGGCTGCACAGTGGAGCAGTTGATAGCAATGTTGCCTTGCAGCAAGAAGGTCCTGGGTTCAATTCCCAGCTCGGCGTCTTTCTGCATGGAGTTTGCATTTTCTCAATGTACATGCATGGGTTCTCACCGGGTTCTACGGCTTCCTCCCACAGACCAAAAACAACTTTCAGGTAAATTGGTCTCTCTAAATTCTCCCTAGCTGTGTGTGTGTGCATGGTTTTTATGTTGTGTGAAGAAGAAAGTCACACTCGTGTCTTCTTTTAAGTTTTTCATGTTATTTTCTTCAGTAGATCTTGATGGAACTGCCACACCACCAAAGGTGAGTAGGTGACAAGGATTTTTCAATTACGTTGGATTATTTAATACCTTGCAGTGTGAAAGTGAACCATACCAGCTAAAATGTAACGCATGTTGTAATTTCATTCTTCAGTCCCCAATTGAACTGAGTCGACTGGACTATCAGGTGTGAAAACACCCTTAGTGGAGTTAATGCAAGTCAAAGCATGCACTTAATTTTCTGAGATAACACAATGACATTTAAGCAGATTATAATGAAATTTGAATACTTGGAATCATACATACCCTTCTTCACAGATTACTGTAGCCACTGCACCAATTATAGTACCCTGGCTGGTATCAAATGACATGTGCGGTTTTGCTTCTGGGAGACCACAGTCTGACCCTTTGATATAAAGAAACAACAAAACCAACAAAAACAAGCAAAAAAAAAAAGTAGACATTATTGTAGGATTACAAAGAGCCAAGATGACCATGAAAGGCATGATGGATGACTGTTTGTTAGATGTAAAATGCAAGTTAAACAAGACTCACTCTTGCAGATGATATCTGGCTTGGTCCACTTCCCACTGACACATCTAATGATTCCAGTGCCACTTATTTGATCAGACCCCTTCATGCATTCATATTTGATCACAGTACCACTTGGAAAAATCCTTTTTCGGAGGGACTCAGCAGAGAGAACTGTGTTCTCTATATGTTGAGGTTTGGGACAGTCAGCTAGGAGAAAATAAAAATAAAGAAAAATCACACACAAACACACACATAAAAGCAAAGCTGTTGTTGTGGTATTTGGTTATTTAAAAATTGTTCTAAAAAATATGTTTAAGAAACAAATTAGTGCAAGCTTATATTTGAATACAAAAGTGTCAAATGTTTGGACATGACATGCGCAAAAGTTTTGTATGTAAACAATGGCATGCAAGGTGTCTGCATTTATAAATCTGATTAAATCAAAATCAAATCAAATCAAATTTTATTTGTATAGCACATTTCAGCAAGGCATTTCAAAGTGCTTTACATCATAAACACAAGAACACAAAGACATGCAACATTTAATATTCAATACATTGTTACATATTACATTTCAAAAACAATTCTAAACAGGTGTGTTTTTAATTGCGATTTAAAAGACGTCAGGGTTTCTGCTGTTTTACAGTTTTCTGGAAGTTTGTTCCAAAGTTTTGGTGCATAGATGCTGAAAGCTGCTTCTCCTCTCTTGGTTCTGGGGATGCAGAGAAGACCAGAACAGAAGACCTGAGAGGTCTGGAAGGTTGATACAACAACAGCAGATCTTTGATGTATTGTGGTGCTAAACCGTTCAGTGATTTATAAACTAACAACAGTATTTTAAAATGTATTCTTTGAGCTACAGGGAGCCAGTGGAGGGACTTTAAAACTGGTGTTATGTGGTCTATCTTCCTGGTTTTAGTGAGAACGCGAGCAGCAGCTTCTGGATAAGCTGCAGCTGTTTGATTGATTTGTTGGACAGACCTGTGAAGACGCTGTTACAATAATCAATGTGACTAAAGATAAACGCATGGATGAGTTTCTCTTGATCTGGCTGAGACATTAATCCTCTACTCCTGGAGATGTTCTTCAGGTGATAGAAGGCCGACTTTGTAATTGTCTTTATGTGGCTCACAAGGTTCAAGTCCGAGTCCATCACTACTCCCAGGTTTCGGGCCTGATCGCTAGTTTTTAGTTGTAATAACTGAAGTTGTGCATTGACTTTAGATCGTTCCTCTTTAGGTCCAAAAATAATGACTTCAGTTTTGTTTTTGTTCAGCTGGAGAAAGTTTTGGCACATCCACACATTTATCTGCTCTAAGCATTTATTCAGTGATTGGATGGGTTCAGAGTCACCTGGTGACATCGTAATGTAGAGCTGTGTGTCATCCGCATAGTTGTGGTAGCTAATATTATTTCCTGTTATAACCTGAGCTAGTGGGAGAATATAAATATTAAAAAAGAGGGGTCATAAGACTGAACCTTGGGGTACCCCACATGTGACCTTTGACCTCTTTGATGAGAAGTTTCCAATTGAAACAAAGAAATCCCTGTTCTTTATGTAAGATTCAAACCAGTCGAGCACCAAACCGGAGAGTCCAACCCAACTCTCCAGTCGATTCAGTAACATGTCATGGTCGACAGTGTCAAAAGCTGCACTGAGGTCCAACAGAACCAGCACCGTGGTTCTCCCACAGTCCGTATTTATATGGATATCATTGAATACTTTTACGAGGGCAGTCTCCGTGCTGTGGTGAGCACGAAAACCAGACTGGAAAGTGTCAAAGCAGTTGGTCATCATGAGGAAACTATTTAATTGTTTACACACAGTTTTTTCAATCATTTTGCTGATGAATGGGAGGTTTGAGATCGGCCTGTAATTCTGCAGTAGTGATTTGTCCAGGTTGTTCTTTTTTAACAGTGGTTTTCAAAGCCTGGGGGAAAACACCTGATGTAAGCGATGAGTTTACGATTTGGATCAGATCAGTAGCAATAACAGGCAGGACTTTCTTAAAGAAATGTGTGGGTAGGACATCCAGACAACAGGAGCGTGAACTTCATTGACTTATAATTTCTTCTAGGATTTTATGATTAAGTAGTTGAAAATGGGTCATTTTTTCTGTATTTGTTTTGTTTTGGTACAGCAATGGTTCTGGCTTTAGAGTTGATGTGCAGATTAATCCTCTGATTTTTGAATTTTCTTTGAAAAGAAGCTGGAAAACTTGTTACAGGCAGCATTAGATTGGAGTTCAGGTGATAACGTCATAGGAGGGTTTGTGAGCCTGTCAACTGTTGCAAATAAAGTTCAAGCATTGTTGATGTTTTTGTTTATGACATCTGCAAAGAAAGCCTCCCTTGCGTGTTTTAGTGTTAAGTGATAGTTGCATAGTCTTTCTTTATAGATGTCATTATGAACGTGAAGTTGAGTTTTACTCCATTTTCGTTCTGCTCTGCGACAGAGTTGTCTTGCAGATCGAACTGTTTGTGCTTTTCTCCATGGAGATTTTTTCATACCAGACACAACCTTTACTTTAATTGGAGCAATGGAATCAATGATATATGAAACTTTAGACTGGAAATCATCTACCAACTTATCTACATCATTACAGCTTAAGGGTGAGGAAGAAGAGTAGATTTGATTAAATGTTTCTGCTGTGTTTTCTGTGAAAGAACGTTTTGTGACAGTAGCTGTTTGTCCAAGCGGGTCAAAGAATAAAGAACCTTCAAAGATAACAGCAAAGTGATCCGACAGGGCGACATCAGTTACATCGACATTGGAAATAGTCACACCCTTACTGATAACCAAGTCCAGTGTGTGTCCTGGAGTGTGTGTTGCTTGTTTGACATGTTGTGTTAAACCAAAATTTTCTAAAATATTAAAGAGCTTTTTTGCCCCTCTGTCTTCGGGTTTGTCCACATGAATATTGAAATCATGAATGTTGAAATCACCAGTTTTATACTTTGGTGAAATGATAGGCTGGACCAGGGGCGTTCAAGTCCAGTCCTCGAGAGCTACCGTCCTGCAAGTTTTAGTTGCAGCCTTACTCCAGTAGATCAGGCTCAGCTATGAACAGGCCTGGTAACAAGTCATTCATTTGATTCAGGTGTGTTGGAGCAGGGATGCATCTGATAGTTGCAGGATGGTAGCTCTCGAGGACTGGACTTGAGCAACTCTGGGCTGGACAATGAGCCAATTTACAAGTAGTGGAAAAACGATTTGTGTTATTTGGAAGCTTTTTGTATCTTGTCTCAGCTAACTGATCTTCTATGAATCCTGAAAAAAAGCACAATTACTTACTGACACATCGTGGTTGCTGAGAATCATATCCACCAGTTTCAGTACACCTAATGATTTCATTCCCAAACAAGGTGTATCCTGTGTTACATGTGAAACGTATAGTTTGTTGATATTCTGGTTTACGGACACTATTCCAAGAATGTCTGCCATTTTCCACTCTGGTCGGTTTGGGACAAGTAACAACTGCAAACATTGGCAAAAGAAAAAGAAAATTGCTGTTTAAGGTACAAAATACTTTAATTGAGGAAAAAAGCGAATAATTTAAAGTGAACAGAGCTAAAAATAACTGTTAGTCATGATGTTGTTAGGTTTCCATCTCAGGATGGATCATTGTCAGTTTTATACTTTGGTGAAATGATAGGCTGGACCAGGGGCGTTCAAGTCCAGTCCTCGAGAGCTACCGTCCTGCAAGTTTTAGTTGCAGCCTTACTCCAGTAGATCAGGCTCAGCTATGAACAGGCCTGGTAACAAGTCATTCATTTGATTCAGGTGTGTTGGAGCAGGGATGCATCTGATAGTTGCAGGATGGTAGCTCTCAAGGACTGGACTTGAGCAACTCTGGGCTGGACAATGAGCCAATTTACAAGTAGTGGAAAAACGATTTGTGTTATTTGGAAGCTTTTTGTATCTTGTCTCAGCTAACTGATCTTCTATGAATCCTGAAAAAAAGCACAATTACTTACTGACACATTGTGGTGGCTGAGAATCATATCCACCAGTTTCAGTACACCTAATGGTTTCATTCCCAACCAAGTTGTATCCTGTGTTACATGTGAAACGTATAGTTTGTTGATATTCTGGTTCAAGATCATTATTCCAAGAATGTCTGCCATTTCCCACTCTGGTCGGTTTGGGACAAGTAACAACTGCAAAAATTGGCAAAAGAAAAACATAATTGTTGTTTCAGGTACAAAATACTTTAATTGAGAATAAAAAGAGAATAATTTAAACTGAACAGAACTAAAAATAACCGTTAGTCATGATGTTGTTAGGTTTCCATCTCAGGATGGATCATTGTCAGTTTTATACAGTGGTGAAATGACAGGCTGGACAATGAGCTAATTTAAAAGTAGTGGAAAGACGATTTGTGTTATTTGGAAGCTTTTTGTATCTTGTTTCAGCTAACTGAATTTCTATGAAGCCTAAAAAAAAGCAAAAGAACTTACCGACACATCGTGGTGGCTGAGAATCATATTCACCAGTTACAGTACACCTAATGATTTTATTCCCAACCAAGTTGTATCCTGTGTTACATGTGAAATGTATAGTTTGTCGATATTCTGGTTTACGGACATTATTCCAAGAATGTCTGCCATTTTCCACTCTGGTCGGTTTGGGACAAGTAACAACTGCAAAAATTGGAAAAAGAAAATTGCTGTTTAAGGTACAAAATACTTTAATTGAGAAAAAAAGAGAATGATTTAAACTGAACCGAGCTAAAAATAACTGTTAGTCATGATGTTAGGTTTCCATCACAGGATGGATCATTGTCAGTTTTATACTTTGGTGAAATGATAGGCTGGACAGTGAGCTAATTTACAAATAGTGGAAAGACGATTTGTGTTATTTGGAAGCTTTTTGTATCTTATCCCAGCTAACTGATCTTCTGTGAAGCCTGAAAAAAAGCACAAGAACTTACTGACACATTGTGGTGGCTGAGAATCATATTCACCAGTTTCAGTACACTCAATGATTTCATTCCCAACCAAGTTGTATCCTGTGTTACATGTGTAATGTATAGTTTGTCGATATTGTGGATTATGGCCACTTATCCAAGAATGTCTGCCATTTTCCACTCTGGTCAGTTTGGGACAAGTAACAACTGCAAAAATTGGCAAAAGAAAAACAAAATTGTTGTTTCAGGTACAAAATACTTTAATTGTGAATAAAAAGAGAATTATTTAAACTGAACAGAGCTAAAAATAACTGTTAGTCATGATGTTGTTAGGTTTCCATCTCAGGATGGATCATTGTCAGTTTTATACAGTGGGGAAATGATAGGCTGGACAATCAGCTAATTTACAAGTAGTGGAAAGACGATTTGTGTTATTTGGAAGCTTTTTGTATCTTATCTCAGCTAACTGATTTTCTATGAAGCCTGAAAAAAAAAGCAAAAGAACTTACCGACACATTGTGGTGGCTGAGAATCATATCCACCAGTTTCAGTACACCTAATGATTTTATTCCCAACCAAGTTGTATCCTGTGTTACATGTGTAATGTATAGTTTGTCGATATTCTGGTTTACGGACATTATTCCAAGAATGTCTGCCATTTTCCACTCTGGTCGGTTTGGGACAAGTAACAACTGCAAAAATTGGAAAAAGAAAATTGCTGTTTAAGGTACAAAATACTTTAATTGAGAAAAAAAAGAGAATAATTTAAACTGAACAGAGCTAAAAATAACTGTTAGTCATGATGTTGTTAGGTTTCCATCTCAGGATGGATCATTGTCAGTTTTATACTTTGGTGAAATGATAGGCTGGACAATCATTTAATTTACAAGTAGTGGAAAGACGATTTGTGTTATTTGGAAGCTTTTTGTATCTTGTCTCAGGTAACTGATCTTCTATGAAGCCTGAAAAAAAGCACAAGAACTTACGGACACATCGTGGTGGCTGAGAATTATATTCACCAGTTTCAGTACACCTAATGGTTTTATTCCCAACCAAGTTGTATCCTGTGTTACATGTGAAACGTATAGTTTGTCGATATTCTGGTTCAAGATCACTATTCCATGAATGTCTGCCATTTTCCACTTCATCCGGTGTGAAACAAGTAACAGCTGGAAAAATTGGAAAAAGAAAAAAAAAAAGATGTTTAATGTACAAAATACTTTAGTTGAGAGAAAAAGAGAATAATTGAACAGAGCTAAAAATAACTGTTAGCCATGATGTTGTTAGGTTTCCATCTCATAATGTATGATTGTCAGTTTTATACTGTAGTGAAATGACAGGCTAGACAATCAGCTAATTTACAAATAGTGGAAACATGGTTTACTTTATTCACAAGTGTATTTGTAAACTGTTTGTATGTTGTCTTAGCTAACATATTTTCTGTAGATTCTGAAATAAAGCACAAGAACTTACCAATGCATTTTGGTGGCTTAGGATCATATTTGCCTCTTCTATTGCACGTAATGGTTTTACTCCCACGCAAGTTGTATCCTGGGTTACAAGTGAAATTTATAGTTTGTTTATATTCTGGTTCACGGTGACTAGTCCAAGTATGTGTGCCATTTCCTATACTCGGTATGGAACAAGTAACATCTGGAAAAATTGGCAAAAGAAAAAGAAAGTTGCTGTTACGGGCACAAATTACTTCAGCTGAAAAAAAAGAGAGAATAATTTATACTGAACAATACTCACATACACAATTTCCAACTCCAAACCATCCTGTATGGAAGCAATGTTTTATGTCCGATCCATAGAGCTCATAACTGCATAAAGTCAAAAGAAGTAATAAAGACTAATATAATCTGTTTGACCATAAGAAAAGTTCAGCTGGTGAATAATATTTAATAATTAAAGATTATTTTGCTAATTTTACATTTTCTATTTACTTTTTCACACAGAATCAGTTTTCTGATGGGATACAAAAAACCTTCTCTTCTCAAAATAGCGATGGCTATGTAATATTTTTTATGAAAGAGAAACTTTTGTATTTCTTTAACGTAAAATTGCACAACATGGATGCACATCTTTCCGTGCTGCTGATGTTGCATCTTTGAACATAGATAGAAAGAATCAGGATAGTTCTGTTAACTTGCTTCTCTCATGCAGCATTGTAATGGAGTGAGACATAAACATAACACGTTGTTCACTGTCAAAGTGGAGACAGAAAGCGGCGACAGAAAGCTAATTACATAAGCAAAGTAATAATAAACTGGCAAATAAAGAATACATTTTTATATTTCTGCAAAATAAAATGACTAAAGGCAGGTTTCTAGTTTCTGCCATTAGATTAACATTACAAAATACATAACTGACTCACAGAAAGATTATGTCTAACCACTCATAAAACAAAGAAACAAAAAAAACTCTTCTGCAGTTCACAAAAGAATAAAGGATTACCTATAAGAGCTAATTAATAACACAAAATAATACAATTTGGTTAAATATCTGCATTTTAATTGTTTGCTGCAGACAAAATGTCAGCGTAGGCTTCTACTGCCATTAGGTCATTGTTCAGACTAAAAATATGTTTGCATCAGTTTTACATGAAGACTGGGAGGAAGGAACAAAGCATGCTCCTAAGTTGCTTTTTTTTCATGCAGCAAATTGATGGAAGGTTAGGAGAGTGAAAAAGACCCTCGTAGTGGATGTGTCACTATCAATTAATTCAACGAAAAGATTTACTAATTGATTACTAATTTGTGGATTGCAATTTTCTTAAATTAAATAAGAAAATTATTTGTCCATCCATTTTTTTTCTTACACCCTTATCCCATTGGGGTCGGGATTGGTGCTGGTGCCTATCTCCAGCTGTCACAACGACTAATCAATTATGAAAAATATGTTTTTAACAAAGTTTTTATTATAGGTAATATTAACAAACTTATTTGAAATATTATCATTGACTGGAAACCTTTTTAATGTAAACTCTTCTAATAATAAATCACATAACAACTGCATAAAATATGTGCAAATTGCACTGGAGATAGAATAATAGTCCTTCAACCTATTCCACCTGTCTTTAGCAACCATTGCGAAAAGGTCATTCATACTCCCTCATCAGGTATGTTTTACTCATGGTGAAAAAAGTTGTCATTTTTATTAATATATTAAATATTTGAATTTTAAATGAGGTGATTAGCTCAGATTTTCTTTACTGAATATTCACACATAAAAAAAGCACTGAATTGAACTCATAACGCAAGAAATTTCTATGAAAATTAAATCTGAAAAAAATGGATAAACAGCTCCATAAACCTTATATAACTCAATTCAACTCTGTTAATGTTACATTTTATTTTGACATATATTTGTACAAATTTTACTGGCTCTACTGTTTTTATTTTTAAATGTGCGGACATATCGAGATGCACATCTTGACAAAAATTTAATTGCTGCATATTACATAAATACTGGTATTGCAGCAATGAACATGTTAGTGTCCCTCATGATTTGGGGCACATTCATACCTAACACATTTGGTCTGGTTTAAACAGATCAAAGTTTGTTTCCCCTGTTGGTCCAGACCTTTTATGGAGCTGTGAATACAGTCATGCAAATCCTGGTGTGAACCAAACAACCAGACTGAGACTAATTTTTTAGGTGATCTCTTGACTTGCAGTAAATTGGCCTCAAAATCTTAGTCTCAGTTTGATTAAAATGAAATCTGGAACAATTTTTTTTAGGTTCTCCGCTTTCCAATAAATTCTCGTACAGTTCGCCTTGGTGCAAACCAAATACATGAAATATGTATCTTTTTAGACTTTTTAGAAGCTGCTGCTTGGGTTCTCACTAAAACCAGGAAGATAGACCACATAACACCAGTTTTAAAGTCCCTCGACTGGCTCCCTGTATCTCAAAGAATACATTTTAAAATACTGTTGTTAGTTTATAAATCACTGAACGGTTTAGCACCACAATACATCAAAGATCTGCTGTTGTTGTATCAACCTTCCAGACCTCTCAGGTCTTCTGGTTCTGGTCTGCTTTGCATCCCCAGAACCAAGAGAGGAGAAGCAGCTTTCAGCATCTATGCACCCAAAATTTGGAACAAACTACCAGAAAACTGTAAAACAGCAGAAACCCTGACGTCTTTTAAATCGCAATTAAAAACACACCTGTTTAGAATTGTTTTTGAAATGTAATATGTAACAATGTATTGAATATTAAATATTGCATGACATTGTGTTCTTGTGTTTATGATGTAAAGCACTTTGAAATGCCTTGCTGAAATGTGCTATACAAATAAAATTTGATTGATTGATTGATTAAAGTGAAATCTGGAACAATATTTTTTAGGTTCTCTCTCCGCTTTCAAACAAATTCTCGTACAGTTCGCCTTGGTGCAAACCAAATACATGAAATATCCATCTTTTTAGACTACACAATTCCTTGTTGGTCTGTATTATGGTAAAAATGAACACATCAGAGTTGCCTGCACTTCCATATGTGGTGATTTTAATAAGCTTGTACCTGTTCTCCTGTTTTCTACTTAGCAATGCTGTTGCTAGTTTGTGTTAGGTCAGCGCAGGTGGAACAAACACATTTGCAAACTCTGTTTTAAAATTAGAAATATTCCATCGCTATTCCTGTGTCAAATGAACTGCTGTTGATGTTCAAAATTATATTGCAGTTATTTAAATAGGGAAAGTGTGAATGCACATCCAGACACACCAAGAAAGCAAACTCTGAGCTGCCTCAAAATCTAGGACTCAGTTTGATTAAAGGGAAATCTGGAACAATTTGTATGTGGATGCAAGAGGACTAGTGATCATTAAAAAAGCAAGAAGGGAACCATGGCGCAAGGCACAATTGGTAAATATAACCAAAATAAAAGGAAAAAATGGCTCATGGTCTATTTCTAAAAACAAAAGAGAAATCTTAGAAGCACATTTTGTTTACATTTTGTGAAGAAGAAAGATGCACTCATGTCTTCTCAGCTTTTCATGTTATTTGTTCAGTAGATCTGCAAACCACCACAGGCAATGGGGTGAAAAGGTTTTTCAATTACTTTGAAATGTTTAAAAAAGTACAGTGTGAAAACAAGCAACACCATCTAAAATGGAACAAATGTTGCAATTTTGGTCCTCAGTTGAACTGAGCCCAGCAGACTGACAGGCGTGAAAAGATTGTTTCGAGTTCTTGCAAGTCAAGACATACACTTGATTTTCTGAGAAAAAACAATGACATTGAAGCACATAATCTAATTTAAATATTTGGAGTCATACATACCCTTTTTCACAAGACATATAAACCGATGCACCAAATAGAGTCCCCTGGCTGACGTCAAGTATCATGTGTGGCTGTGGTTTAACGGGACCACAGTCCATCGCTTTAATATAAAAATACCACAAAAATAAAAATACAAAAGAACAACAGTCATCAGTGTGATATTATCTTCAGCCAAGATGACAATGTAAAGCATGTTAGATAACTGTTTTTGTCAGATGTAAATTGCAAGTTAGACAGGACTCACGCCTGCAGGTGATGTCTGGCTCAGTCCACCTCCTGTTGACGCAGGTCATCTCCCCAGTGCCATTTACTCGAATATATCCAAGTTTGCACTTATAATTGATCACAGTACCATCAGGGAATTCTTTTATTTTAAGAGATTCTGCTGTGATCTCTATGTGTACTCTATTTGTAGGATTTTCACAATCAGCTAGGAGAAAAGAAAAATGACACAAAGACACATAAAAGCAAAGCTGTTATTGTGACTTTGGTTATTTTAAAATGACTCTCCAACATAAGTTGAAAAATATGTTAGTTGAAGTAAGACTGGGGCATATGAGGAAAATCTAATATCCTGATATATTTTTGCTATGTCACGATACACAGTATACAATATTCTTAAATGAGCTGCAATGTTATTTCAATCTGGAGATAATTTGACATACAAATTAAGAGTCTTTGGCACAGGGGCCCCAGCTGAGGACATCAATTATCACAAACTTTCCGATGGGCTCGGATGAGCATTCCGTATGCTGAGAGGAACGTTATCCCCCCGGGACCCGACAGTGGTGGTGGAGGCGATGAAGGATGTGGCCGAATGGCTGAGCAAGTGGAGGTGAAGGGGTGGAGGTGGGTTGAGCTCTGTTGGAAGCGGGAGACGCCATGGATGATGGTCCTTATCAGCTGGAACATGGGCGGTGATTGGATGTGACGCATCTTGGACCAGCGTTGATTAATCAATGGTGATGAGCATGCTGCACCGGTTGGGGTTAGAAGAGTCTTCCAGTTTGAATTTGCACCTGGGCTTCATTTTATAAATCCCTTGCAGCATGATGTCACACACACACACTTTACCGCCCCCATTTCCCTGCTAGACTTAAATGTAAGCTCATAAAAAATTGATTCAGTATTTTGCGTAGAAACTAACAGCAGATGGTAGCAGTGAGCTTCAGGTTCTGTAAACGGCTTTGATTACAGAACTAGTGAGGGGGCAGTGAAATGCTAATGTTAAATCCACCCATATGTCCCATATTAACTGCATGTTTTTAAATGCTGACGTCAGTAATTCCTTTTTAAGTCTCCAAATCCTTTTGGATTGATATTGATGCTCTGTACCAATTACTTTTTTCTAAACTTTATTGTGTCTTATGTACATACATCTATAGTAGATTGTTTTTTATCAGAACTTTTGACTCGGTAGACATTATAGATCATCTGACGAACAAGTTAACTGCGAACGTCCAGCAAATGTTTTGTCAAATCTTAATAAATGTCTGATGGACGTTTGCTGTTGATTTGACGCTCTGCGTCGTTATGACAACGTTAAGTGGACGTTGTCATAACGTTTAATGCTAGACGGTAGTTGTTAAAGTTAAGGTTATTTTTAAATAAAAGTTTTCTTATTAGTCAAAGTGGCCCTGACATCAAACAAAACGTAATATGTTTGTATATGTGACAACAAAAATTAGTACAATATTATATCTTTGAAGCCGGTTTGGCCGGTGACGTACTGACCTGCAACGTTCCCGATAAATAGGCACAGGATAAGGAGTTTTCTCTGTCTGCCGATGTCAACTAAACCCTTCATAGATGTGGAAGGAAATACAAACCATCCGGATGAAGCTGCCTCTACATCAGTCCAACTTTAGTCATGGAAATGTGGTGTGTAGAGACGCTCCTCACGGTGGAAATGATTCTCCTTCCATTGAAGTCAATTCATTTTCTTTAGTTACTAGAGGGAAATGAGGTGAGGTTGAAAATTTTCAAAATAAAAGTCTTGGTTTCCCAACATAAATTACTGTTTTGGAATTCACTAATTCAAACAAACGACTTTCACAAGAATCCTAACCACGAAGCAATTTACATGCTTAATGACATTGTGTCTCCAATGTCCTGAGTGGAATTTTGGACATTTGTATTTCACTTTGTTTCGAATACACCCTTGGATTTGTAGGATTTTATGTTTTTGCTGTAGAGATTTAAGGGGAGGTATGTGCTTCTTAGAGTCAAACATTCTTACAATCAAGAATCAAATAAGAAAAAAAGGCAAATAAAATTAATTAATCTTTGAGAATTCAAGTGTTAAGTGATGGCATAATCAGGACAGACATATATATATATATATATATATATATATATATATATATATATATATATATATATATATATATATATATATATATATATATATATATATATATATATATATATATATATATATACATATATATATGTATATATATATATATATATATATATATATATATATATAATATATATATATATATATATATATATATATATATATATATATATATATATATGTCTGTCCTGATTATGCCATCACTTAACACTTGAAATATATATATTATATATATATATATATATATATATATATATATATATATATATATATATATATATATATATATAAATCCTCACCAGTCAACGCCTTTCTTAAAGGCACAGCATGTCTTACAAATATTGTAGAAAGTGGAATCCTTTTAATGTGACCTCCAATTTACAAGAAGAAAAATGAACAAGTTAAAACAATTTAAATAAGATGTTTTGATATTCTGATGGTCTTAGGTCAAAAAATACATGAAATGGACACCTGAATGAAGAAGGATACTTAAAGAGTGTGGAACTGTACATTTTTATGTGTACAATTGAATGACAATAAAGTATGTCTCTGTCTACCTTTTTAAATGTGACCTGAATCTAAACAGCAAGGCTGTATTCGTCCAATCTGAATGCCAATGATAAACGACAAATGTCACCATTCTGTGTCCTGATACGCGTAAGCGGGAAGAAAAACAACAACCATGAAGGACTATAATGAGGATAAAGTTGTTAATGAGCTGGCTCGGGTCAGACAGCAACTTCAAAATTGCAAAATATGCTCCATTAGCACCAACTTCTGTTTCCGCAAACAGGTTCTATGTGTGATGTTATTATGCCTTCTGCTTCGCATGCGGGACAATTTTAGGTTGTTTGCAGTTCGCACTGGAGATCACATACAAGTCATATATTGGGAAGTGTAAGTTGTGCCAAAATAAAATTCTGATTTCACAAAAAAAAAATCGGGATTTAGTTACTTTAAGTTGCACTACAAATTTTTTGTCTTCATAATTCAACGCATTGAAATTGCGCTTCTGTCTCTGAAAACTCAGGAGGTGATCACAACATTGCTCCTGTTTTAACCCCATAGTGTTTTCAACAGTGTTGCAATGAGATGTAGTTTGTATAATGAGCCCAGCAGGTTTCCAGTTCCATTGAGTGTTTGCTAATTGTTGCTAGTTTGAAGGAGCTGACTTGGGGAGTCATGGGGGTGCTCTGTGAGGCGGAAGCTACACCTAGAAAAGAGGAGGAGCTCTGCCGCCGTTCCCTAGACGTTTTGCAAAGCTGAATGGTCGCCATGGGAGATTTAAGGATTTCTCAAACATGCATGAACGAATCAGGTCAACAAACCAGGTACATGTTTGATGATGGAATGCAATTATAACAAGGTGGAAAGATAAAAAAAAGTCAGAAACCATTAGGCCAGGGAAAAAAGAGAAAAATTCATTCATGGTTCCAAAAACTATAAAAGCAACCTCTACAGGCATAATGAAGTATCATCACTTTTTGTGAAGGAAATTTGCAATTTTCTGTTCCACACCTTCAAAACGATATACCGTATTGTCTGGACTATAAGTTGCTCTGGAGTATAAGTCGCATTTTTGAGGGAAATTTATCTGATAAAATCCAACGTCAAGAACAGACATGTCATCTTGAAAGGCTATAATAATAGAATAGGGGCAAGAACAAGCTGAATAAAGGTACGGTATGCTAATGTTACATGAAAACGAACTGATAACGTGCCTGGTTACATTCCTTCAGTTTTTCCAAAGAAGTAAAACACTTCAAACTTTAAATATAGAATGAATAGCTCAATACAGACTTCTATTTTTTATCCATTAGCCATATTTCACATCAGCTTCATCCCTCATGCCATAAGACTGCAAAACTCCCATTAATTTAGCATTTTATTGTTGTATTAAGTCCCTTTAATGTTAAAAGAGACTTAGTGTTTCATAAACACATTTACCTTTACATATGAATGCTACATATACTATACTCATTCTTCTACTGTCAGAAATAGATTTTTTTAATCTTATCTGAAAATGTTTCATTTTAAGGATGATGATTTGAAATCTTTCTCAAAAAAATGGTTTGTTATTGTTCTGTATAGTAGACAAAAATGCAACAGTAAACGTTCATGAAAAGAAAGAATTTTCACCACCCACCATTGAAGTTTGTAAACTGAATTAACCCCATTGTGTTGTTCATGGACAACTTGGATTATGTATCTGTCCTTATGAAACATCACAAAACAGAAAAACCTGGAAACTTGCAGGCTTAATAGTCATCAAGAACTCTAAGATGCGTGTTTTTTTTTTAATGATTAAAATAATTTCTAACTTAAAAAGAAAAAAAAATGGTTCACAACGTAATTAGTAGAAACAAACAATAAATGTTTTCAAATTTTTACTAGCTTGGTAAAACCAATTAGTGTATAAAACGATGCAGATGTCAAAGGCAGACGTCCTTCATCTGTAGTAGATGTCCCAACAGCTGGGTTCAGTTCCAACTGAGAAAGAAACACACATAAGACACCAAGGAGTAACTGTTTAATTACAGTTGCTTTTTCATTGTGGTGGGAAAAAAAAGACAACAGGATCAAGAGCTATTTCTTCTTGCTTCAATATGAAAACCATATTTATACTTAAAGATTCACACAGAAAATTACAAGAAGAAAAATGAACAAGTTAAAACAGTTTAAACAAGATTGTTTGGTATTGTGATGGTCTGAGCTCAAAAACCAAATGAAATGGATACCTGAATGAAGAAGGATACTTAAAGACTTCGGAACTGCAATAACTCCAGTGTTTACTATTCTTCAAAGTCATCTGAGCTATAGTGTCAAAAGATAGAAAATTTGTGTGAGAATTATTGGACAGTTAATTTTTTATCAAAAAGTTAACTGATTTAATGCATTTGTAACTAGCATTCCATGGAATTAAAAGGTTAGTCATTGTAATGAAAAATATTTTTGAACAGAAAAATATACAAAAGTATTTAAACCAGTAAATTTAGACAAAATTAAGGCTACCTTTTACCAATTGTACATTAGCAAACACTTAGCCGCCTTGACGGAAGCAGTGATCATTGTCCAGTCTAAACTTTGTGTGTTGTCAAAAAAAATCCTGAACATCTTTCAGCCAGGCTAAAAGTTTACGAAGCTATTTCTAAGGCTTTATGACTCCAGTGAAGTACACAACCACTTATCAATCCAGATGTTTGTTTTTTCTGGTTTTTACAATTTCCAATAAAATCCTAATTTCAATGTTTTGTCTTTTTTTTCCAGGTATTTTTTTTATTTTTATAAGTGGTTTGATGATATTAAACATTTGTGCAAACAATAAGAAATCTGTAAATGGATTGTATTTAGTTTCAAGTAAAGAATCTCAAACATTATTACTTTTTTCTCCTTGGCAGTATGTTTTACTTTCACCCAGTTACACAGACATTAACAGCTAAATTTTAACCTGCCTCAGTGTTTTTACATTAGTCTGTTATTAAAAACCAACAAACACCATAAAACACTTGAAGATGAATGCTTGTACATTGTTTCAGGGATTTTCAGTTATTTAACACTAAAATGGAATCAAAGTGTTCAACTTTACCGTGTATTTACATGTAAACATGCAGAAGTTGAAGGGAGAAACATGAAATAGGGAAAAGGAGCAGATGAAAATCGTAAATGTTTATATACAGCTCTGGTAAAATGAGAGGTTGATCATATAAATGATCAATCTCTTTTGATTTTAGTTTTTTACATGTTTGAGTAAAATGAACATTGTCTTTTATTTTATGAACTACTGACAACATTTCTCTGAAATTCCAATCAAAAGTTAGTATTTAGTTGCAGAAAATTAGATATGGTCAAAATAATAATAATAATAATAATAATAATAATATAATAATAATAATAATAATAATAATAATAATAATAATAATAAGAAGAAGAAGAAGAAGAAGAAGAAGAAGAAGAAGAAGGTGAAGTTTAAGAAGAAGAAGAAGAAATGCAGCGCATTCAGACCTCAAATAATGTAAAGAAATCAAGTTCATATTCATTTAGAAACAACAATACTTATGTTTTACTCAGAAAAACTTCATAAATCAATATTTGGTGGAATAATGATGAGGTTTTCAGCGGGGTTCAGTCCACTGGTTTCTTACTTTTTTTCAGAGCTGTACATAAAGATATCCAGTTATCTGTAAGTTTAAAATACAATATCTCACCATCGCCTCCAAACCCAAAAGATGCAGAAAAGAAGTGCAAGTGAACAGCCAACTGTGAAGGAAATGAAAGAAAATAGATTTTTGATAATTTAGCATTTCAGTCAAAGAAAATGATAATATTAATTTCAAAGAGGCACTTTCATTCAAGTTACCTGCCACGCCTATCAACAGTAGGTTTAAAGGAGGTTTAATTTCTGCAAAGATAAAATAATATTAAAACCAAACCCAAGAGTTTTTCTCTTTAGATAAGAGCAAAACTAAAGATGTTGCTCTTTTCTTTAGATTTCAAAATACTCTGGTCTGCAAGTACAAAACAGTGTAGAAAATGGATTTACAAAATGACAGCAAAGATCCAATTAAGTATTTATAAGGAAAAAATCAACATAGTTAAATATGCACAATTCTTCGGAAAACTAATGAAAAATCCTTATAACTTACAATTACAAACATGCCACGTTACTTGTGTGATTCTTTTCGTAATGCAGTGACTCACCAAGGTCGTCTCCAGAGCAGTGATCAATGTAGAAGTTTTCAACTTCTGCATTGTCTGAGAAATCTATAATTTATTTACTGCTGAGGTACACAGAAAATTCACTTGATTGTGATAAAACAAAAAAAAAAAAAAAAAAAAACTGGTGGAGTGACAAATTTTAGATTAAAATTTTGCTTTCCAACTTCATTTACTTCATTTCACCTGCCACAGCTATCAACAATGGGTTTAAAAGAGATGTTTTTTCTGCAATATTAAAATAATATTAAAACCAAACCAAACCAAATTAAAACCAGATTTTACTCTTGTCTGCAAGTACAAAACAGTGTAGAAAATGGATTTACAAAATGACAGCAAAGATCCAGTTAAGTATTTATAAGGAAAAAATCAACATAGTTCAATATGCACAATTCTTTGGAAAACTAATGAAAAATGGCTCCTGCTTAGGCCAAGACACATCCACTTATGATTCTCCAAACATGCCATGTTACTTCTGCGATTATTTCGTAATGCAGTGACTCACCAAGGTCGTCTCCAGACCGGTGATCAATGTAGAAGTTTTCAACTTCTGCATTGTTTGAAAAATCTATAATTTATTTACTGCTGAGGTACACAGAAAATTCACTTGATTGTGATACAAAAAAAAAGAAAGAAAAAGAACTGGTGGAGTGACAAATTTTAGATTAAAAATTTGCTTTCCGACTTTGTTTAAAAATACATTTCAAAATTTTTTTAGAAGAAAACTTTTGATACTTTTTAATAAGGTGGATGCTGATGCACTGGTTGTAATAATAGTTTCATCAGATGATATTTTGTAGACTTTAAATGACAAAGTCAGCATAAGTCTTGTTTATTTCCTAATTTGGATAAAATACGTTTCCTTAAAATACCCCAAAACTCCCTAGTGAGGCTGCTACTCCCACGACCCGACTCAATATATAGATGTGGTCAGGAAATCTTTAAAGGGGACAATTTATTTTTTGTTGAACTTTATGTAAATATATATTGTCCTCCAGTGAATGTGACACAAAGTGAAATAAAAATGTAAATCTATGCAAAAATATTCTTCTTATATATTCTATAAGTTGTTTTGTTGCAGGAGTGAATGAAATACTTTTTGTTGTAATTTTGCCTTCTTTGGTCTATTCTGTCACAAAGGATTCAGCTGCATTTTGACATATTCTAAATATGCAATGTGAAGCTAATTTTAATTTGGCATGAACAACACACTTTATCTATAACTGTCATTCATCCACCATCCATTTGTTTTTAGGTTTAGTTCTTAGTAATTACATATCTTGAAACCTTTTATGAAAAACTTATCTCCTCCAAAATATGTTAGCAAGGCACATTTTGACAAATGATTAACAGGTTAGGGTAAAATAACTTTCATATTCAAGGACTCACCCTTGCAGATTAGATCTGACTCAGTCCAAGTCCCATCAATGCAGGTTATGATCTCAGAGCCACTTTCTTTTTCAAATCCATTGGCGCACTCATAGGTGACTTTGGTACCCTCTGGGAAATCCTCTCTTAGGAGGGATTCATTCGTGAGAACCATGTTCTCCACACTTTTAGGTGTGGGACAATTACCTAGGAGGAAATATAAATCTTGCATGAGCCTTGTAATTGATCAGCATTTCATCTGCCATTACCCAACATTGATGCTGCAGCCTACTAACAAGACCACCAAGGCCCCATGAAGACTTATATAGTAATCGCAGACTTTCAATGTTATTAATGTTGTTCAACTAAAAAACTTGAGATCATGTTGTCAACCATTTCCTTCCCTTTGTGATCACTCCTCTACTGTCAGTTCTCTATAAAGCTAGGATTATTGTTGACAATTTGAACCTGCTTGGGGACCTACAAATATTTGTGGGATTGTTCTGCATACACCATCTTTCACTCAAATTGTATGGTTGCATTTCAACTCATTGTATGATTACAGAGCAGGTTGATCTTTACCAGCATTTCTATGAACCCTCTCTGAGGATTCATTTCTGAAGAATCAGGGATGGATTTTTTTTTTAACTGGCCACATGGGCTGGTAAAGAAAACTTTTCATTGTCGACACAAACATTTCACAAGCCACTGTTTTCTTACCTCATTCCATGCTAAGTGGCTCTCATTGTGCTTATCAGGAACCTAAAAGCATCAGATATAGCTTGACAATTTTTTCCAGATTGATAAATATCAGAGATGTTGTCATCTCATCATAAAATAACTGAGAACAAGTCATAATATGTTGCCTTTTTAGTTCTTCATAGACATGTTGTCAGGGAGTCTCAAAGTATATTTGATGTTTCTATTTAGTTCGGTGTGAAATCTACAAAAGGCTGGAAATACAGTGTATATTATTATCCTCTAATGAATGTGTCACAAAGTATAATATAAACACAATAATAAATTATGATGAGATCTGTGCTTTTATTGTACATACATTGATTTGTGGTTGAGCTTTGTAGTTGACTTTCATATATAAAACCACAACTCCCAGGACTATTATATTACTGAGGCACATTATTGAAAATATTGTAACAAGACATTTTAATTTCTCTTCTTTTACAATTTCACTGCAAGAACAAGAGTAAGTTTGTTTCATTTACGGAAGAATAGTAGGTAAAGGCCCATCTGAGAACGTGCATTATGAACGAGCTAGGGCTGTAAATATTATATCACTCATAATTTGTTTATTCTTGACACTTATTCCCATTCAAATAAACAGTAAAGACAGAGAATTCAACTTTCAACTCATGCTATGGTTTGCTTTTTGATTATGTTAGAATTCTGATGAAACTTGTTCAAAAACCTGTAAAATTAATAACAATTAACCATTAGCCATGTTGCAGTAAGGGTTTCATCTCAGGATGGATTATTGTTAGTTTTATACAGTGGTGAAATGATAGGTGGGACAATGAGCTAATTTACAAGTAGTGGAGAGATGATTTGTGTTATTCACAAATGTGTTTGCAAGCTGTTTGTATTTTGTCTCAGCTAACTGATCTTCTATATGAAGCTTGAAAAAAAGCACAAGAACTTACGGACACATCGTGGTGGCTCAGAATCATATTCAGCACTTTCAGTACACGTAATGGTTTCATTCCCAAACAAGGTGTATCCTGCGTCACATGTGAAATGTATAGTTTGTTCATATTTTGGTTCACGGTCACTATTCCAAGAATGTTCGCCATTTTCCACTTTGATCGGTTTGGAACAAGTAAGAGCTGGAAAAATTGGCAAAAGAAAAAAAAATTGCTGTTTCAATAAAAGTCAAAGTTTATGTTTATTGCTCATTTTTAACAGCCTCAGCAGAACAAAGTGCTTCACAATAAACACAATATTGCAGGCAGATTAAAAAAATCAAATGAAATTACATTTAGCAATAATAATAATAATAAAATTAGCAAAACTTCAAATGAATGAAAACCAAAACAGTACATAATTGTAGAAGCAATTTACCTCCATCCTTCCATTCCAGGCACAAAGTGCTTCAGTAAACTGTGTTGAGAAAAGAGAGAATATTTCAAACTGATCAACACTTACAGATACAGTCTGCGATTCCAAACCATCCTTCGTCCATGCACTGTTTGAAGCTCGCTCCACTGACCCGGTAGCTGCATAAAGACAAAGGAAGTCATAAAGACTGATACAATCTGTTGAGCGATGAATAAAAAAGTTTAGTTTGCGAGTCAGATTTAATAATTAAAGATTATGGTAAATTTTCTATTTACACTTTTGGAGTCATAGTTTGCTGACAGGATCCAAACGCCCCGTCTTTTCAGGAGGATGTAGGCTATATTTCTTCCCAAACTAACACTGGCTATATAAATTTTATAAAAGAGTAAGTTTTCTGTTTTAAAGGATAATTGTACAGCACATACACACACCTACTCATAGCATGTTGCTCAATGTCATAAAGGGGAGGAAAAACTAATAAAAAAACACTTCTGCAGTTGACAAAGCAGGGTTTCCACCAGAAAACGTCAGAGCCCAGTGGTAGGGGCACCCATGCGGTCCATCGTGTTTTTGTATCAGAGGATGTTAAGCTGACAGAAAATTTTAAAATATGAAATGTTACAGGAAGATATCACCAGTGAAATGCTATTTACACCAACAGCAATAGTCTTACAAGCAACAAATCAAAAAAATACAATTAAAATGAGTAAAAGTAAAGCCTGGCAGGCCGCACAGGTTATAATACACTGGGGGAAACGCTGCAAAATAATAAAGGATTACCCAAAAGTGCTAATTAATAACACAACATAGGAAAATTTGAGGTAATATTAGCATTTTAACAAGTTTTCTGCCAAAAAAAAGAGCAAAAGATTCTTTTGTGTTGATCAGCATTATATGAAAATAGGGGGGACAACATAAATAAGTTGCTTTTCTCATGCAGCAGTTAGATGGAAGGAGAGTGAAAAACCTCTCAGTGGTGGCTGTGGCAGCATCATCAATACAAGAAAAGAGTTACTATACGATTATTGATGTGTGGATCGGAATTTTCTGAAATAAAATACTGTAGTCGAAATAATAACAACACATGAAACATAAGTTTTTAAATATTATTGTATTAATATTGATAGACTTACATGGACTACAAATAATTACAGACTTACCTCAGCTCTTATAACAAGAAATTATATAACAACTGGTAGAATGGCACTGGAGATAAATAATAGTTTCCTCAGCTGAGTTCACCTACCTTTAGCACCCTTGAGAAACAGTGAAGTTACCACTCTTACACAAGGTATGCTCCATTAAGGGTGAAGAAAGTAGTCATTTTATGTCTTAAATATCAGGAATGTAACTCAGTTGATTAACTCAGATTTATTTTTACTGAACGTTCACATATAAAAACAACTGAATTGAAATCATGAAGCAAGAAATTTGTATAAAACGCTGCTGTGAAGAAATGTATAAACAGCTCATTACTCAGTTCAACTCCATCAATTTTCTATTTAATCTCAAATTTTACTAATCCACACAAACATTTCAACAGCCACTTTTTCTCCCTGTGTGCAACATCATCGCTGAGCTATTTCAGAGAACCTACATCACATTCCATTTTTTCTACATTGGATGTAAGTGTCTCTCATGGAGTATTACAGTTTAAAAGCCTCAGAAATAGTTTAAAATGACTTAAATCAGGTCAAAATGTGTTTTTTATTTAAAATCTTTTTAGCAATGTTGTAAGGGAGTTTTCACACACTGTTGCTGATATATTGGCCCATTCTTCCATGCATATCTCCTCTAGAGCAGGAATGTTTTGGGGCTCTCGCTGGGCAACACAGACTTTCAACTCCCTTCAATGGTTTGCTATGAGGTTGAGATCTGCAGATAGAAATGCTTCTTACGAAGCTACCCCTTTGTTTCCCTGGCCATGTGTTTGGGATCACTGTCATGCTGAAAGATCAGCCTATGTTTCATCTTCAATGCCCTTGTTGATGGAAGAAGTTTTGCAACCAAAATCTCATGATACAGGGTCCCATTCATTCTTTCATATACAAAGATCAGTCATCCTTGTCCAGTTGCAGAGAAACAGCTTCAAAGCATGATGTTGCCATCCCCATGCTTCACAGCAGGTATAGTGTTCTTTGGATGCAACTCAGCATTCACTCTCCTCCAAACACAACTCAAGTTTATACCAAATTGTTCTACTTTGGTTTCATCTGACCATGTGACATTCTCCCGATGCTGTTGTGGAACATCCAAATGCTCTCTAGTAATCTTCAGATGGGCCAGGATATGTACTTTCTTAAGCAGGGGAACGTTTGACTCTGAAGGATCTGAGTACCTGGTGGTCTAGTGTGTTACTGAGAGTAGCCTTTGATGCGTTAAACCCAACCTTCTGCAGGTCATTCTGCCCCCCCCTCCATTTTCTTTGGGGTGACTGTAAATCTGGAGGTAGAGCAGTCATCTGTGATAGGAAGGTGGAAGGTTAAAGTCCAGCATCCCCTGCCACATGTTGGTGTGCTCCTGGGCAAGGCACATAACTGACAAATTGCTTTCCAGTCTGTGTATTGGTTTACAAATGTGTGAGCATTTATGAATGCAAATGGGTGAATGTAACTCTAATGTAAAGCACTTTAAGTGGTCAAAATGATTGGAAAAGCTGTATATGTTCAGCCCATTTACCATTTTCCATCTGGAATTTTTGATGCATGGAGTGAGATCCTTCTTGGATCCCTAATCAAGAGGTATTATCAATAATCTTGAATGTCTTCCATTTTCTCATTACTGCTCCCACAGAACAATACAAGCACAATAACAAACAAAAATAATGCTGGCTATGTAATTTTTTTTCAAAGAGAGTTTCATAGGGGCTGCACAGTGGAGCAGTTGGTAGCTATGTTGCCTTTCAGCAAGAAGGTCCTGGGTTCAATTCCCAGTTCGGCGTCTTTCTGCATGGAGTTTGCATTTTCTCAATGTACGTGCATGGGTTCTCACCGGGTTCTACGGCTTCCTCCCACAGACCAAAAACAACTTTCAGGTAAATTCTCCCTAGCTGTGTGTGTGTGCATGGTTGTTTATGTTGTGTGAAGAAGAAAGTGACACTTGTGTCTTCTTTTAAGCTTTTCATGTTATTTTCTTCAGTAGATCTTGATGGAACTGCCACACCACCAAAGTTGAGTAGGTGACAAGGATTTTTCAATTACTTTGGATTATTTAATACCTTGCAGTGTGAAAGTGAACCATACCAGCTAAAATGTAACAAATGTTGTAATTTCAGTCTTCAGTCCCCAATTGAACTGAGTCGACTGGACTATCAGGTGTGAAGAGACCCTTAATTGAGTTAATGCAAGTCAAAGCATACACTTAATTTTCTGAGATAACACAATGACATTTAAGCAGATAATAATGGAATTTGAATTCTTGGAATCATACATACCCATCTTCACATTTTACTGTAGCCATTGCACCAATTACAGTACCCTCTTCGGTTTCAAATGACATGTGCGGTTTTGCTTCTGGGGGACCACAGTCTGACCCTTTGATATAAAGAAACAACAAAAACAAAACAAACAACCCCCCAAAAAAGTAGACATTATTGTAGGATTACAAAGAGCCAAGATGACCATGAAAGGCATGATGGATGACTGTTTGTTAGATGTAAAATGCAAGTTAAACAAGACTCACTCTTGCAGATGATATCTGACTTGGTCCACTTCCCATTGACACATCTAATGATTCCAGTGCCACCTATTTGATCACACCCCTTCATACATTCATATTTGATCACAGTACCACTTGGAAAAATTCTTTTTCGGAGGGTCTCAGCAGAGAGAACTGTGTTCTGTACATGTTGAGGTTTGGAACAGTCAGCTAGGAGGAAATAAAAATGAAGAAAAATCACACACAAACACATACACACATAAAAGCTTTGCTTTTATGTGTGTATAAGCTTGCAGATAGCTTGCAGATAACACAAATCGTAAGTGTCTCTTTTATGGAAAAATATGCTGTGAATGGCCCATTTGGGAACATGCATTGCAAACCAGCTAAAGCTATAAATGTTACAGTGTTCATAATTTGTTTATACTTAACACTTGTCCCCATTCAAAAAAACAATACAGAAAAAAAGCATATTTTACTTTTTTGATCATGTCAGAAATTTAATGATATTTGACAAAAACCTATGAGATAAATTAAAAATAACTGTTAGTCATAATGTTGTTAGGTTTCCATCTCAGGATGGATCATTGTCAGTTTTATACTGTGGTGAAATGATAGACTGGACAATCATTTAATTTGCAAGTAGTGTAAAGACGATTTGTGTTATTAGGAAGCTTTTTGTATCTTATCTCAGCTATCTTATATTATGAAGCCTGAAAAAAAGCACAAGAACTTACTGACACATCGTGGTGGCTGAGAATCATATCCACCAGTTTCAGTACACCTTATGGTTTCATTCCCAAACAAGGTGTATCCTGTGTTACATGTGAAACGTATAGTTTGTTGATATTCTGGTTTACGGACACGATTCCAAGAATGTCTGCCATTTTCCACTCTGGTCGGTTTGGGACAAGTAACAACTGCAAAAATTGGCAAAAGAAAAAGGAAATTGCTGTTTGAGGTACAAAATACCTTAGTTGAAAAAAAGAGAGAAGAATTTAAACTGAACAACATTTACCTTCACAATTTGCAGTCTGTTTGTTAGATGTAAAATGCAAGTTAAACAAGACTCACTCTTGCAGATGATATCTGGCTTGGTCCACTTCCCATTGACACATCTAATGATCCCACTGCCACTTATTTTATTATATCCAATTATGCACTGATATTTGATCACAGTACCACTTGGAAAAATACTTTTTAGGAGGGACTCAGCAGAGAGAACTGTGTTCTGTACATGTTGAGGTTTGGGACAGTCAGCTAGGAGAAAATAAAAATTTAGAAAAATCACACACAAGCACACACACACATAAAAGCAAAGTTATGATTGTAGTATTTGGCAATTTAAAAATTATTCTAAAAAAATATGTTTCAGAAACTAATTAGTTGAAGCTTATGTTTGAACACAAAAAAGTGTCAAATGTTTGGACATGTTTGCGCATGCGCAAAATTTCTGTATGTAAGCAATGGCATGCAAGGTGTCTGTATTTATAAGTCTGATTAAGTCAATGCCTCACAAGCTATGAACCTAACTGGACGTCCTGGGAATCAGGGAAGGAAATTTAGCATGTTCTCCATTGCTCACAGTGGCTGGTGAATAAAACATTTCATCAACTTTTTCCTCAGCACAAGAACTTACCAATGCATCGTGGTGGCTGAGAATCAAATTGAGCAGTTTTAGTACATCTAATGGTTTCATTCCCAAACAAGGTGTATCCTGCGTTACATGTGAAACGTATAGTTTGTTGATATTCTGGTTCACGGACACTATTCCAAGAATGTTTTCCATTTTCCACTTGGATCGGTTGGGAACAAGTAACAGCTGGAAAAATTGGCAAAAGAAAAAGAAAATTGCTGTTTCAGGTACAAAATACTTTAGCTGAAAAAAAGAGAAGAATTTAAACTGAACAACATTTACCTTCACAAATTGCAGTACCATGCCATCCTGAGAGACGGCAATGTTTGAAACTCGATCCAATGAGCCGGTAACTGCATAAAAACATAAGAAGTCATAGAGACTGTTAGTATCTATTTGACAATCAGAAGAGTTCAGATGATGAATAACATTTAATAATTAAAGATCGTGCTACTAATTTTATATTTTCTATTTACTCTTTCACACAGAGTCATAGTTTGCTGATGGGATGCAAAAAAAACAACCTTTAAGGAGATAGCAGGCTATATTCCTTCTCAAAATAGCGATGGCTATATCATCTTTTTTATGAAAGACAAACTTTTGTTTTGCTTTAAAGTAAAATTGCACAGAATAGATGCACATCTCTACATACTGCCTTTGTTGCACCATTTTACATAGATAGAAAGAATCAGGATAGTTCTGTTAATTTGCTTCTCTCATGCAGCATTGTAATGGAGTGAGACATAAACATAACACATGTTGCTCAATGTCATAAAGTGAAGGAAAAATGCTAATTATTAAACCAAAACAATAATAAACTGGCAAATAAAGAATACATTTTGATAGATAACTGAAAAATAAAATAATTAAAGGCAACTTTTTAGTTTTTGCCATTAGTTTAACAGCCATTACGAAATACATAACTGACTCACAAAAAACATATGTCTAGCTTCTCATGAATAAACAAAAACAAAAAAACTTTTTTCTGCAGTTCACAAAAGATTAAAGGGCTACCTATAAGAGCTAATTCATAACACATAATAGAACAATTTGGTTAAATATCTGCATTTTAACAGTGTGTTTCAGACAAAATGTCAACATAGGCTTCTATCTTCTGCCATTAGGTCATTGTTCAGACTAAAAATATGTTTGCATCAGCTTTACATGAAGACTGGGAGGAAGGAACAAAGCATGCTCCTAAGTTGCTTTTTTTTATGCAGCAGATTGATGGAAGGTTAGGAGAGTGAAAAAGACCCTCGTAGGGTGGCACTATCAATTAATCCAAGAAAAGAGTTACTAATTGATTACTGATATATGGATTGCAATTTTTTTAAATAAATAATACCACCATTAATCCATCCATTTTTTTTCTTACACCCTTATCCCATCGGGGTCGGGAAGGGTACTGGTGCCTATCTGCAGCTGTCACAACGATCAATCAAATATGAAAAATATGTTTTTTTCTCGGTGTATGCAACATAGTCCCATCATTCTGCAGGTCATTCTAACCCCCCCCCCCCCCGTTTTGTTCGGGGTGAATCTGGAGGTAGAGCAGTCATCTTGTGATTGGAAGGTGGTAGGTTTAATTCCAGCTTCCTCTTGCCACATGTTGGTGTGTTCCTGGGCAAGGCACATAACTGACAAATTGCTTTCCAGTTTGTGTATCGGTTTACAAATGTGTGAGCATTTATGAATGCAAATGGGTGAATGTAACTCTAATGTAAAGCGCTTTAAGTGGTCAAATGATTGGAAAAGCTGTATATGTTCAGTCCATTTACCATTTTCCATCTGGAATTTTTGATGCATGGAGTGAGATCCTTCTTGGATCCCTAATCAAGCGGTATTATCAGTAGTCTTGAATGTCTTCCATTTTCTCATTACTGCTCCCACAGAACAATACAAGCACAATAACAAACAAAAAAAAATTCTGGATATGTAATTTTTTTTTTAAGAGAGTTTCATAGGGGCTGCACAGTGGAGCAGTTGGTAGCTATGTTGCCTTTCAGCAAGAAGGTCCTGGGTTCAATTCCCAGTTCGGCGTCTTTCTGCATGGAATTTGCATTTTTCAATGTACGTGCATGGGTTCTCACCGGGTTCTACGGCTTCCTCCCACAGACCAAAAACAACTTTCAGGTAAATTGGTCTCTCTAAATTCTCCCTAGCTGTGTGTGTGTGCATGGTTGTTTATGTTGTGTGAAGAAGAAAGTCACACTTGTGTCTTCTTTTAAGTTTTTCATGTTATTTTCTTCAGTAGATCTTGATGGAACTGCCACACCACCAAAGGTGAGTAGGTGAGCAGGATTTTTCAATTACTTTGGATTATTTAATACCTTACAGTGTGAAAGTGAACCATACCAGCTAAAATGTAACACATGTTGTAATTTCAGTCTTCAGTCCCCAATTGAACTGAGTCAACTGGACTATCAGGTGTGAAAACAGTTAATGCAAGTCAAAGCATACACTTAATTTTCTGAGATAACACAATGACATTTTAGCAGATAATAATGGAATTTGAATTCTTGGAATCATACATACCCTTCTTCACAGATTACTGTAGCCACTGCACCATGAAAAGTACCCCTGCTGGTATCAAATATCATGTGCGGTTGTGCTGCTGGGAAACCACAGTCTTTCCCTTTGATATAAAGAAACAACAAAAACAAGCAAAAAAAAAGAGTAGACATTATTGTAGGATTACAAAGAGCCAAGATGACCATGAAAGGCATGATGGATGACTGTTTGTTAGATGTAAAATGCAAGTTAACAAGACTCACTCTTGCAGTTGATATTTGGCTTGGTCCACTTCCCATTGACACACGTAATGACTGTGATAGGTATTCGATCTTGTCTAAGTACGCACTGATATTTCATCACAGTACCAATTGGAAAAGTGTTACTCTGAAGGAGGGACTCATCAGTGAGAACTATCTCTTCATAGTGAGGTTTGGAACAGTCAGCTAGGAGGAAATAAAAATGAAGAAAAATCACACACAAACACACACGCATAAAAGCAACGCTGTTGTTCTGGTATTTGGTTATTTAAAAATTATTCTAAAAAATATGTTTCAAAAACAACTTAGTTGAAGCTTATATTTAAACACAAAAAAGTCTCAAATGTTTGGACATGATGTTTGTGCATGTGCAAAATTTCAATGGCATGCAAGGTGTCTGTATTTATAAATCTGATTAAGTCAGTGCTTCACCAGCTATGAACCTAACTGGACGTCCTGGGAATAAGGGAAGGAAATTTAGCATGTTCTCCATTGCTCACAGTGGCTGGTGAAAAAAATATTTCATCGACTTTTTCACCAGCCACTTTTTTTTTGTCTTTGTGTTGTCATCCGTTCTTAAAATTACTTTGATCATGTTATAATGTGTTGCTTTTTTAGAAAGAGGGGGCAATAATTTTCATAGAATTTAATATAAATATACATTTTACTTCAGTGATTTTGTCACAAATTACAATATAAGCAAAATAATAATCAATTTTTGGATTATGCTTGTATTGTATAAACTTTGAATTGTGGTTGGGATTTTTAGCTCTATTATATAAACAACCACAAACCACAAGATATTTTTTTTTTGGATGGGGGGGTTTTCGGCACGTCTTTGAAAATATTGCAACAAAAGATTCTAACTTTTCCTCTTTTACAATTTCACTGCAAGAACAAAAGTAAGTGTCTCTTTTATGGAAAAATATGTTGTGAATGGCCCATCTGGGAATGTGCATTGCAAACTAGCTAAAGCTATAAATGTTATCGTGTTCATAATTTGTTGATACTGAACACTATTAAAGAACAAAAGCATCTTTTACTTTTTTGATCATGTTAGAAATTAAAAAAATAACTGTTAGTCATGATGTTGTTAAGTTTCCATCTCAGGATGGATCATTGTCAGTTTTATACAAAGTTTTGGACAACCAGATAATTTACAAGTAGTGGAAAGACGATTTGTGTTACTTGCAAGCTTTTGTATCTTGTCTCATCTAACTGATCTTCTGTGAAGCTTGAATAACAGCACAAGAACTTACGGATACATTGTGGTGGCTCAGAATCATATCCACCAGTTTCAGTACACTCAATGGTTTCATTTCCAACCAAGCTGTATCCTGTGTTACATGTGTAACGTATAGTTTGTCGATATTGTGGATTACGGCCACTAATCCAAGAATGTCTGCCATTTTCCAGTCTGGTCAGTTTGGGACAACTAACAACTGCAAAAATTGGCAAAAGAAAAAAGAAAAATTGCTGTTTCAGATACAAAATACTTTAGTTTTAAAAAAAAGAGAGAATAATTTAAACTGAACAGAACTAAAAATAACCGTTAGCAATGATGTTGTTAGGTTTCCATCACAGGATGGATCATTGTCAGTTTTATATTGTGGTGAAATGATAGGCTGGACAATCAGCTAATTTACAAGTAGTGGAAGGAAGATTTGTGTTATTTGGAAGCTTTTTGTATCTTATCTCAGCTAACTGATCTTCTGTGAAGCCTGAAAAAAAGCACAAGAACTTACTGACACATCGTGGTTGCTGAAAATCATATCCACCAGTTTCAGTACATGTAATGATTTTATTCCCAACCAAGTTGTATCCTGTGTTACATGTGAAATGTATAGTTTCTCGATATTCTGGTTTATGGTCACCATGCCAAGAATATCTGCCATTTTCCACTATGGTCGGTTCGGGACAAGTAACAGCTGCAAAAATTGGAAAAAGAAAAACAAAATTGTTGTTTCAGGTACAAAATACTTTAATTGAGAAAAAAAGAGAATAATTTAAACTGAACAGAACTAAAAATAACTGTTAGTCATGATGTTGTTAAGTTTCCATCTCAGGATGGATCATTGTCAGTTTTATACTGTGGTGAAATGACAGGCTGGACAATGAGCTAATTTAAAAGTAGTGGGAAGACGATTTGTGTTATTTGGAAGCTTTTTCTATCTTGTTTCAGCTAATTAATCTTCTATGAAGCCTGAAAAACAGCACAAGAACTTACGGACACATCGTGGTGGCTGAGAATCATATACACCAGTTTCAGTACACCTTATGATTTCATTCCCAACCAAGTTGTATCCTGTGTTACATGTGAAACGTATAATTTGTCGATATTCTGGTTCAAGATCACTAATCCAAGAATGTCTGCCATTTCCCACTTCATCCGGTGTGAAACAAGTAACAGCTGGAAAAATTGGAAAAAGAAAAAGAAAATTGCTGCTTAATGTACAAAATACTTTAGCTGAGAAAAAAAGAGAATAATTGAACAGAGCTAAAAATAACTGTTAGTCATGATGTTGTTAGGTTCCATCTCATAATGTATGATTGTCAGTTTTATACTGTAGTGAAATGACAGGCTGACAATCAGCTAATTTAAAATAGTGGAAATATGGTTTACTTTATTCACAAGTGTATTTGTAAACTGTTTGTATGTTGTCTTAGCTAACATATTTTCTGTAGATTCTGAAATAAAGCACAAGAACTTACCAATGCATTTTGGTGGCTCAGGATCATATTGGCCCATTCTATTGCACGTAATGGTTTTACTCCCATGCAAGTTGTATCCTGGGTTACAAGTGAAATGTATACGTTGTCGATATTCTGGTTTACGGTGACTAGTCCAAGTATGTGTGCCATTTCCTATACTCGGTATGGAACAAGTAACATCTGGAAAAATTGGCAAAAGAAAAAGAAAGTTGCTGTTACAAGCACAAAATACTTAAGCTAAAAAAAAGAGAGAATAATTTATACTGAACAATACTTACATACACATCTTCCATCTCCATACCATCCTGTGGGTGCAAAGTATTACGTTCGATCCATAGAGCACGTAACTGCATAAAGTCAAAAGAAGTAATAAAGACTAATAGAATCTGTTTGACCATAAGAAAAGTTCAGCTGGTGAATAACATTTAATAATCAAAGATTATGCTGCTAATTTTACATTTTCTATTTACTTTTTCACACAGAATCATAGTTTTCTGATGGAATGCAAAAAAAAAACTTCTCTTCTCAAAATAGCGATGGCTATATAATCTTTTTTATGAAAGAGAAACTTTTGTTTTTCTTTAACGTAAAATTGCACAACATGGATGCACATCTCTCCGTGCTGCCGATGTTGCATCCTTGAACATAGAGAGAAAGAATCAGGATAGTTCTGTTAACTTGCTTCTCTCATGCAGCATTGTAATGGAGTGAGACATAAACATAACACATGTTGTTCACTGTCAAAGTGGAGGGAAAAAGCTAATTACATAAGCAAAGTAATAATAAACTGGCAAATAAAGAATACATTTTTATATTTCTGCAAAATAAAATAACTAAAGGCAAGTTTCTAGTTTCTGCCATTAGATTAACATTACAAAATACATAACTGACTCACAGAAAGATTATGTCTAACAACTCATAAAACAAACAAACAAACAAAAAACAACCCTCTTCTGCAGTTCACAAAAGAATAAAGGATTACCTATAAGAGCTAATTAATAACACAAAATAATACAATTTGGTTAAATATCTGCATTTTAATTGTTTGCTGCAGACAAAATGTCAGCGTAGGCTTCTATCTTCTGCCATTAGGTTATTGTTCAGACTACAAATATGTCTGCATTAGCTTTACAAAAAGACTGGACTCTAAGTTTGCTTTTTTTCATGCAGCAGATTGATGGAAGGTTAGGAGAGTGAAAAAGCCCCTCGTAGTGGATGTGTCACTATCAATTAATCCAAGAAAAGATTTACTAATTGATTACTAATATGTGGATTGCAATTTTCTTAAATAAGAAAATTATTTGTCCATCCATTTCTTTTCTTACACCCTCATCCCATCAAGGTCGGGATTGGTGCTGGTGCCTATCTCCAGCTGTCACGACTAATCAACTATGAAAAATAAGTTTTTATTATAGGTATTATTAACAGACTTATTTGAAATATTAACATTGACTGTAAACCTTTTTAATGTAAACTCTTCTAATAATAAATCACATAACAACTGCATAAATATCCGCAAATTGCACTGGAGATAAAATAATAGTCCTTTAACCTATTCCACCTGTCTTTAGCAACCATTGCGAAAAGGTCCTTCATACTCCCTCATAAGGTATTTCAATTTGGAGAGACTCAGACACAGAAAGAAAGCGATTAGAAAAGTTTATTGACATGCATAAATTAAGGCTAAGGACATCGAGCTGTGATTGCAATGAGCTCGGATGAGCATTCCCGATGCTGATAGGAATGTCATCCCCCAAAAAGTGAGGCTGAGGTCGGGGCCGAGGCCGAGGAATTATTAGGGAAAGTGGAGAAAGCGGGAAAAGCTAAGCCAACTCGGAATTACGGGCTAGGACCAGAAACTGAAAAGTGACGTTACGGAGATAAGAAAAGCGACGTGAAGCTTTTAGATGGAGGCCAGTGAGGAGACACCACAGGGGGTGAAATGGCAGGATGCTGGTAGATGAAGGCCAGCTGGGATAGAGAGGTGATACTATGAAATAGTATAGGTGATAGGGAATGACATACCCCAAAAATGACAGCTGAGGCCAGGGCCGAAGCTGGGAATTGATGACAGAGAAAGTGAGGAGACGGAAGCTATGCTAACTGAGGACGTATGAGCCAGGACTTGAGTAAGTGGCTGCAATAAAGGAAAGTGATGAGAAGCTGGTGGGAAAAGGCCAGCTGGGCAATATTGAGATAGCAAGAAGAGGATACAAGAGGGAACGACCTAGAAAGAGGGAAGATGGTTGCCGCTATGCAGATGAGATAATAGAGCTCGGATTAAACTCACATGGTGACAGATAGAGTAGGTGGGTGAGAGATGAGAACATTCTGGAATGGAGCCCAACAATAAGGGTGTGGAGGACAAAGGGGAAAATGTATACATGTATGTATAACGTTAGCAGATGAGAGCATGCATTTTCATGAGGTTGACCAACCACCACCAGTCAATAGCGCAGTGCTTATGAGCCACTGAGGGAAGCTGACGACTGGTTGAACATGAGCTAAAGGGCTGAAAGACGACAGATATAGATTCTAACTTCAATGTGGCAGGAATGAGGTCATTAAATAAATTCTTAAACTTAAATCATCTTTCTACGTTTACTTGCCAAAGCGATGCTGTCATATCACAAAGAGTCTCTGGTTACTTAGCAACCTGCTGGATTCCACTTTCTACCTTAATCTTCCAAAATAAGAGTCGTAACGACAAAATATAAATACAAAATAAGACATGTAAACTAAAACTATGGCAGTAAAAGATGGGATGTGCTGGAATACTACCATACTGATTCGGACAATCTTGGATGAGATATCAGCCTTAAAAGCACCAGATGGGACGTGAGCTTGAAATATGACAATACGGGACGGTTTGTTTGCTAACGGAGAACAACCTGTCTCCGGACAGATAACGGGGCACAATGAATCCACGTAGCTGGACGTCTGCGACAACATCTGTAGCCAACATGAAACTCGTACGAGGTTGAGGTGCTGTATTGTTACCCAGTGTTAAGATCAGAGGCATATCTTCACTTTGCTCGTTAATTTCCTCTGTTTCCCAGGTCCATCGGTCTCCGCAGGGGGAATAATAAAGAATGATCATTCGACATCAGACTTCAGATATCTAGAGCTTTATCCAGAGAATTCAATGTATACAGAATTACCTGCAACGAGTTGAAAAGAAAGACGAAAATGCATTTCTGGGAATTGCTCACTCGGGCATGAAGCAATTCGATCTTCTGCTGAAAACAAAGCTTTTTTATAAGAATGTATATTTTTCTTAATTTAAATATATGCATCAGAAGGTGTGTCCTCCCTTTGAGGGGCTGTCTTAATGTTATTTTTTTTTTGTTTTGTTTTAAAAGAAAAGCTCTTTTAAAATACCTGAAATATATTAGGAGTAAAATAATTTCCTAATTCGATTGTATTTCAGTAATATGAAATCCATACAAATAGTATGGTTAAAAACTAACTAATTCGAAACATGCTGTTTAAAGCTTAAGAAAATATCTTAATACCTTTGTTTATATTTTGGAGAAGGCTTTTTAAAGTTTAAATGTTTTACTGATCTCTTGAACCAATCACCAGAATTGTATTGTTTTGATAGCAGATAGACTCCCTGTCTGCATAGCGGTTAAGGGAGTGCGGGCCTATCTAGCTCCGAAACCCTCTTTAGAAATTTATGTAAGTTCACCTTATCGTAAAGTCTTCCCCAAAATGTTCATGCTGAATCCCATATTTTATATGCAAAAAGGTTAATGTCTCTATAGTTATGCTAACTGGACTTCTATTCTCAGCACCAGTCATCTATCAGCTACCATTACCTGAATCCAACGCTTACTCGACTCGTCAGTTGGTTTGGGGGAGATGGCAAGAAAAATAACTGCGCAAAGTTCTTTGCATTTGCCATTAGTTGCCATAATTCTAACGCACGTCTGCACAGCTCGCACGACGGCAGTGTGTCTCCAGTAGACCCGACGCGAGGGTCACGGTGTCCATGTTGCTAAAGGCAGCTCGGCAAAGGTCTTCTTGCAATGGCCCAACAACAATGAACTGATATAGCTGCCAAAAGTGACGGGGGACAAGGATATGCAAAGAGCAGAGGCCCATATTGCATCAAATGAATATAAGAACAACGGGGTGTTTGACTGTGGGTAATGTTGAAATAGAATTTTAAAGTAGCACAATAGTACATAAGTTAACTTTTAGGTTAAGATAAACTTAGATACAATCCAAACTAAGACAACCGGTGACTCTCTGAACTTACATAAATTTCTAATCAGAAAGCAGTCTTATACTCCTTAAGGAACATTTCAGACAGGGAGTGTATTGGCTATCAGGGCAATAAATTCTTTACTCAATGATCTGACAAAGCAAAAGTCTGAGATTCTGAAAAAGGACTTTAATATTCTTCTGAACACTATGGAAAAACTGAGAATGAAGTTATTTCTCAGTGGTCCAACTCCATCACCTCAATGGGGAGACGAAAAACACTCCAGGCTGCTCACGATCAACAAATGGCTGATTAAACCTGCTCTACCAGCTCAGTGACCTTCATCAATAACCTCTGGATCTATTGGCAGCGCTTTCACCTTTTTGGAAGAGGAGGATGCAATCTTAATAAACATGGGATAAAGCTACTCACTGCAAACCTTTTTTATTTTATCAACAAGGACAGCAACAGGATTATCGCGTCAGAAGAACAGGCTCAAGGATGTCTGACTAGGATGGAACGCTCCCCGGATCAGGAGCATGATATTCCAAAACAAGCTGATAAATCGACTGGAGACGGAGCGACTGCTTCCCTCGCTCCTTCCCCCCTCCCTCTCTGCTCCTCCAATCATTTACAGGATTCAATGGATACCAATGAAGAAATGTCTTCCGGACCAGAGTTTCTTAAATTTACAGATGGAATGAATCAACAGGTTCGCCTCGGCACGTCTCTCCTTAGCACTCACGTAGCAGACCTCACTACATTTAAGCAACCTGCCCCTGACTTCCCAGAGGATCAATCACTCTGCGTTTCTGAGGTCTGAGGCCGGGGACCCGATATTATCTTTACACCTGTCTCCATCCAGAATGTGTCTGGCCCCCGGGTACTGCAGAACAGGACATTGCCTGTCCGGATCACTACAAGAAAATTTACAAAAACCAGAAATATGAAATACAGCGGTCCTAATTCGAACCTCAGACTGATCCCCTGCCTAAAGGAACCTCAGACTGAAAATCTTTTGGCCTCCAAGTCACTTAAAATAGCTATTTTAAATACCAGATCACTCTGTGCTAAAGCTCTATTAATGATTTCATCACTGAGTATAATGTTGATGTTATGTTTCTGACAGAAACATGG